GAAAGCCAAAGCTGGTTTATTCGAACAACCAAACAGGGCATTGATGGTAAACTACAACTACGTGAGTTAAATGTTGTTCAAATCGGATCCGATATTTCGTCGAAGTCCGATTGCCACGAAATATTGTAGAATGACGTTTATCAGGTTTGCTTTAAATCAGTTGGCTTACGCATAATTATATTTTGTTGAGAATCAGAGTTCAGATTTAGATATAGCTCCCATGTCTAATTTCCAACATAGATTACGGATTTGAGGTTAGTATGACGTGCATTTAGTTTAATTGTAATCGGTATCTGTCTGACAGCTTTTTTGATAAATAAGGCATTCTATGAAGAAGAAGACCTTCAGCTCTTCTATGAAGAAGAAGACCTTCAGCACTTCTGTGAAGAAGAAGAAGACCTTCAGCACTTCTGTGAAGAAGAAGACCTTCAGCTCTTCTATCCTCTTCTATCCTTCACCGCACTGTGGGACAGGGCATTATGTCTTGGTAAATGTGTTTGCAACGACCAAAAAGAAACGAGATAGACCCATAGTTACTTTTTAGTATATAGTATGTACATAGAATTATTTTTCAGTCGATTTATGCATGTCCCTCATACCACCATTATGATCCGAACGGGATGAAATTTGGAAAAAATCCATCCAATTGGGATGAAATTTTATTTCCACATAGACGAGTACTATTGACATTGGTCAAAATCGGTTTAGATTTATATATAGATCCCATATATTTTTCTTTATTTACACTTTATTTTGCATTAAGTATTGAATAGATTCTAGAATGATGTATCCTGTTCTTGTCCGGTCGCTTTAGTCGTCAACAAAAACTATGACGAAGAAATCTTCGACATCGTCGTCGTCACACATTGTTACGGAATACCAAAAATGTTTCAATAGTTATCGATAAATGTCGACAACGACATAGGGAATACCAATTTGCAAAAGACGACTCTCTTCGACGTCGTTTCGTGTCGACGACGACATACAGAATAGGGGTGATTAAATAATTTATTTCATTCTAATATTAGAAGGCTCTTCTTTAAATCAACTGTTTAGCCCTTCTATCAGAGAAAGACCTTCAGCTCTTCTATGAAGAAGGGGACCTTCATCTTAGCTATAAAGATAGTTGACTATAGTACCCAAGTATACCTTTACATGTTGAATTTTATTCTCTTAGTAGAAGACTCTTCATGGAATAAAACATTTCGCCCTTTTATGAGAAAGACCTTCAGCTCTTCTATGAAAATGAAAACATTTACTAATAATGCATTGAAATTAAGTTTCCACAAAATTCATTATTTGGTTTATATACTAATATTTACATAAATTTACTACATAGTAAATGATGAAGCTTCATTAAGATAAGTTAATATTAAATCTATGGTAAAGTGTATTAAACTAAATTCCCTGAATATTTTTTAAAGAAAACAAAAAATGACTAATTTTTTTAAATAGTAACTAATAAATATAACAATGAGAAATATTTAAAAAAAAAAAATATTGATAAAGGTGATCGTGTACAGCACTGCTGTAAAAGAACCCCTCTATATACATATGTTGAAGGACAAAACCAAACGCAATTTCTTTTACAATAAAACAATTACAAAAAAAACAAAATTTTGAGTTTTCTAACCAAGTGAAACTTCAGGAACTTGAAGACTATCCAAAAAGACTAATAATACAATGTGACTGTTACATTCTATCTTTCCAAAGATAATTCGTACAGTTCTTCACATTTCTGCGAACACAGGAAATAATGTCCTTTCGTGCTGAGATATGTGGCTTCCATTTGACATTGAATACACCAACGTTTACGTTTCATTGAGGCCGCCTCCATTTCCAAAGATATGGAATATCTGTGTAGTATATCAACCTCTTCAATGGTGTTCAACATCTTCTGTTGTTCGGCCATAATGATATCGTCGAACATGGACTTGAGAATTTCATAATCATGACTGATTTTCTGGAATTGTTCACAACTTCTTTGTAACTTAGAAGTCCAATTAGAATTCGAATTCGATGATGGTTTTGGAATTGTAGTTTCTTTGTGGTTGATGTTGGTTAGATCTATATTACAAACGGAGTCGGGTGTACCCAAGTTTTTATCGCCCACTTCTTTTCCCATGTCAGTAACAACAGCAGTTCCATTGCCTTTTCCACTCTTTAAACTTTTCGAAAGTGTACGTAGAGGTTCTACACCATTCACCTCTTTCTTTGATTGATTCTTTTTTGGTATTGGCGAACATTTAATATCCGGAATTCTTGTGTCCACAGTTTGTCGTCGTTTTCGGGTGTTTATATTTATCTTGCTATCTTTGTGACTTTGTGTTCCTCTTCGTTTGAACATTTTTTCGGCTTTTCGTCGGCAACTTATGCCGATAGATTCTTACCAAAATTCAAATAAATGTTATGCTGATCGATCTGCAACAGAAAAAATCGAAGGGACCATTGAGTGAATGAAATAAAATTACATTTTATTTATTCCAATTAAATATTTAAATCTAAATCTCTTAAATCTTACCAATGCCAAAACCAAATCCGCGCGTTGTGTCAATAAACCAAATGAACAGACCTAATTTAAAAACGTTTGTCCGGCTACGAATAGTGGGAGACGAGAGAGAATGACTGATAAAAATTGTTTACGAATGAAGGTGATAAATAACGGTAATAACAATGGTTTGTTTAGAAGTAGACATGGACATGGAAGAATTATTTCAATCAGCTGATCGATTCTCCCTACAAAATAGGAATATGTAAGACGGGTTTCGGCTAGTCCCCCAATAAGATTTTATTGCGTAGGTGGAGTCCCCAAATAACAAATTCTTTATAAGGCTACGTTTAGACTATTAAATCCACTTAATCTCAAACGTCAATTCCACTGCGTATACGTCACGTTAACCCTGTTCACAAATCCCGTGGATTATATTTGACGAATTGACATTTGAGATCGAGTGGATTTCGTAAATCTAAACGTACCTTAAGGCCTTAAGAAGGAAACACACACAGAGTCAGATTCCACATGCCAAGCCTGAAGCCCTCTTAAGTTTCTTCCATGGACAAATTTCAATACTGGTTAATTTTGTTTTAAATATGTAGCCATCCATCTTCGACTGTGGACACTGTCCAGCATTTACCTATGGACAGACTCCAAAACAGAGCCATATGTTTGCCACTTAGAGCGCGTTTATACTGTTAAATTCACTGAATCTCAAATGTCAATTTCAAAGCGTATATGTCACGTTAATCCTGTTCAAAAATCTAGGGAATTATATTCGACATATCGACGCCTCCGACCAATAGTATGCTAAGTCGACTTAGAATGTTTTAAAGTTTTAAATTTTGGTAATCATCGGCCAATCCAAACCAAAGTTATAAGCAAAAATGTACTTTGCATGACACGTAAGATTAAAGAAAATTCCATACTTTGAGAGCTTCTGCTGAAAAACTCACTTTTTAGACTTAGCATACTATTCTTCGGATTGCTTGGCTATTTTGATTGATTTTGTTCGGTGCGTGCTTTTGTTAAAAACTATTTAAGAAACAATTATTTGGAAGTAAAACATCATCTTTTTAAAGATATAGATCACGTCTTTGCCACCGTTCGCAGCTTTCAAAACAACACGGTTTCGGTTATACCATTTTGAGTTCATCTTTATCGGCCATTTTGTCTTAGTAGGTGGAACGTTTTTCAATTTTTTCACAATGGATTTTAATTCACTACTACAACAAGCTCAACGTCTGACCAATGAGACACAAACCTCAGAGGAGTTGCCTCGTGTTGAGCGCACAATTTCGCAGGTGTTGGAAGCTACCAAAGAGCTGCATTCGCGAGTAACCCAAACGGGGGCACAGGATATACAAGCGTAAGAATTTTGGAATATTGAAATAAGAAAATATTTTAATTTAAATGTTGTTTTTTGGGTTTTCAGTCACATTTTGCTTGGTTCCAAGGGAATTGATTTGCCAAAAATCTCCCAAAAGTTGGAATCTTTAAATGCCCGGAAAACGTTTGAGCCTTTGGATCCAATTGCTGATACGGATATACAAAGTTTTTTGAAAAATGAAAAAGAAAATGCCATTCTGTCGGTTATTGAAGAGGTGCATAAGAATGTAAGTACTTATTAGAGGACCATATTTCCATGCCTTGAGTTACAATGGTAATTGTTTTCGTGTTTCATTTTGCAGTCCTTCTTAAATGCCCAAAAACGTAAATGGGAACACATAAAATCCGATTGGCGCCAAGAAAAAATGAAACTAATGAATGCCTTGGTGGGTCCATCACAAAATTGGATCGATATCCAAAAATTACCCGAACAAACAATCATCAATGAGACATTTGGTACCCGTTCGTGTCTGAATAGAATTGTAAGTCAAATTTGTTAAATGAATATTGATGAATCTTTATTTTAATTTGAGTGAATTTCTATAGGAAATGGCATATGCCCGTGAGGTGTATGATTACAATGCCATTGTCATTAAGGGCGCTTTCCGTCCTAGCTTGGTCCAGAGATTTGCCAAGGTTGCCCAGACATTCGATGATCCCAAAATCAATGAAATTTGGGAAATTATGAAGTATATGGTCGATGTAACTCCGGTGTCGCGAAATCGTGATCCCATGCAAAGTCGCCAACAAGTTAATCAATTTGTCGATCAAGCCAAGAAATATTTGGAGAATCGCTACAAACTCTATATGTCTACAATAATTAGTGGTAATTTGCGAGAGGCTCAACGTGGTGGCGTGCCAAGCATTTTCAATTTGGTTTCATCATTTGTGAGTCTGACATTTAATCAGGGCAATAGTTTTGGTCTGCAAGATGCCACCATAGATGGCAAACCATTGTGGCCCATGGTATATTATTGCCTGAGATGTGGTGATTTACAGTCGGCCTTGAAGTGTATGCAGGTTGGAGGGTAAGTAAAAATTATTATTTGGGACTTAAGGCCCGGCTAGAATTCGTTTTGAAAATTTTGTTACAAGTAGCTAACATAAAATAATATTGTTGTAATCAGGAAACTTGGGATAAAACGACCCAAAACCAGGCCCAAACTTGACTTGTTCTGAGGATTATGTGTAACGAATTATTTTATTTTTTATTTTCAGAGCTGGTCATGAAGATTTCATACAAGTCTTGGAGGACAAAGTCAATAAACCCGAACAGAAAATAAATTCCAAACTTGAGGGACAACTTAAACTACATTATTGTAATAAAATTAAGAATTCCACAGATCCCTACAAGAAGGCTGTAAGTATTTGCTGGTATATTTTCAGAATAACCCCTAACGAAATTAATTTATTTTTAGGTTTATTGTATTATTGCTGGTTGCGATCCCAATGAACAACACTTTGAAGTTGCCAAAACCACAGATGATTTCCTCTGGATCCAATTGTCCATATTACGTACCGACGTTAGTGACAATTCAGATGCTTTAACATATTCCGGCCTTCAAACGATGATATTGGAAAAATATGGTGAAAAACATTTTAATGCTGGGGAACAACAACATCTATATTTCCAAGTGTTGGCCCTTACGGGACAATTTGAGGCTGCCATTGAATTTCTTTCACGCACCGAAAAATATCGTGTTCATGCTGTTCACATTGCTTTGGCACTCAATGAAATGTTTTTAATTGCCGGTCCAAGAAATGTTCAGGAGCCACTGCGTAAGTGAGAGATAATCAAATCGATTTCCATCACATTTAATTTTTTCGACATTCTAATATGCAATTTTGAGTCATTAATTAATCATTGTTTTCTTTCGTATTTATTTTTAGTATCTGTGGACATAGAAGATCCCATACCTATGCGCCGTTTAAACATTGCCCGTTTGGTTATGTTGTATGTTAAGAAATTCGAAATTACCGATCCCGCCGAAGCTCTACAATATTTCTTCTTTTTGCGTAATCTAAAAGATCCAGAAGGCCGCAATCTGTTTTTGGTTTGTGTTAGCGATTTGGCCATTGAGTGTCGTGATTATGATTTGATTTTTGGTAAAATGATGCCAACTGGTTTGCCAGCCGGGTAAATATATGAATTTTCAATTTATTTTTACTGTCTAATAAAATCTCAATCGTTAACAGTGGCCTTTTCCAACAATTCGACTGTGTTGAATTCGATACTCGTGTTGCAGCCGGTATGGTGGCCGAGGAATTGGTGCGCAAGGGAATGTTTGAAGATGCCATTAAACTGTTCGATATTGCAAATGTGAGTATTATAAACTGTGTGATTGGTTGGTGTGGTAGATACGAATGGAAAAAATATTTATAATACTTAGTAAAAAAAATAGTATTAAAAGAAAATGTACTGGGTTAAAGGACTATAAATACAGAAACAACCTCGACTTTTTTTAATTTTATTTATTTTTTTCCAGATGCAAAGTCAATCGCTGCGTTACCTTTCATTAATGCTCTCACAAGTTGTACATCAAAGCTCTAAAAAAGGTTCGCTGCGTGAACGTCTCTCAATTATGGCCGGCGATTTTAGTGAACGTTTACGTGGCAGCCGCATTGAATGTGAACCACAAGTTATAGCCACATTTAATTTGTTGACCGAGTTGGTGGCATTCTTTGATTATTATCATGAACGTAAATATCAAATCGCATTGGAAGTTTTGGCCAATACCAAACTGGTGCCAATGTCTATGAACGATTTGGAAGAGTGTATTAGTAATTTTAAACGTTTGGGCGGTGAAATATGTAAAGTGTATCCAGATATTCTATTGGCTGCCATGGATATTTTGTATTCACAATACAAAGCTATCAAGGGCAAGGATTCCGTGATGTTGGATACTGGCAGAGATAGTGTATGTATATACAAATGTTTTAAATTATATTGAGATACTCAGACTGAAATTTATTTTTAATTTTTGTTTCTTGTAATTTTCCAGCAATTACAACATCTACGACAAAAGGCGAAAGCATTGACAAATATGGCAGCCACTGTTCCATATCGTATGCCAGGCGATACAAACAAAAGACTGGTACAAACTGAAATATTAATGCATTAGTTTTTAAGCCAAAATCTTCTATTGGAAAGTCTACAAGTAATTTCTGTTTACTAAAATAAAAATAATAATTTTTTTATGTTAACTAAAGTGTGTGTAATTTTTTTCTTCGCTCTTAATTTCCATGACTAAGATTTTTAAAATTGATTTTTTAACTCATAATATTTAATTCACAATTCAAGCCAGAATAGTGGATTTTAAAAAATCATCTTCAAACTCTTAAATCACTTCTAAAGCAGGGTAGGTATACTCCACATTAACTACACCGTTTTAAATTTTATTTAGTAAATTTTATTTATTTCTTCTTAACTATGGAAATGTTGCAAGCAACAAGAATGTTGTTTTATTGCCAAAAAAATAAAGTTGCCTTTAAAAAAATATTACAAAAATATATATCTCTTGTATATAAAAGTAATAATCGAAAAATAATTTTTTCTGCCGAAAAAAAATATTTTAACAAAATTTAATACTAAAGTGGTGTATAAAAAATAGAAGTAAATTGTCTTATAAAAAACACAAAGTAAAAAAATTGTCCCTCATCACATTATTATTAGAAATTAATTTGCAAAAAAAAATTAATTCGTTATCCTATAGTAATTAAGATTGCATTAAAATTTGTAGTTGTATAAATGCAATATTGGTAAGTTTTGTGCGCCACACTTTGTTGCAAAAAAACCGGCATTATGTGTTCTATAAAAGCATAGTATTTCGCGTTGTTGTAGATTAACAACAACTTGTTTTTTACTTTGCTAAGTATTCGAATATTATTTTTTTGTTTTGAGTTTCAAAGATTAATATTGCAATTCTTTTTTTAGTTCAATTCCTTTTTCCCCTTTTTTTTAACCCATATATTGATAGGATGCACATACTGGTTCCTGACCAGAATGTCCAGAAGAGGATTGCAATGATAAACATTGCAAATGACAGGAACGACACAAAAGGCGATTGTCCAAGGGATAGCAACGTTTGTCCGGTTCATCGGTTAACTGCATGCCACACATTTCACAAATATAACAATCGACATGAAAATCTTTATCCATGGAGACGACGCGTACAGTTTCATCTGTGCCCTCGACCGGAGTAATGCCTGCAAAGAAAAACAAATCGCTCAGTTTGGGGATTGAGACGAGAAATTGTGTGTGTGAAATAACAAACCTTTGCCACAGCTGGCACATTTTGGTGCAAACATTCGATGATAATCATTGACACAATAAATTTTGTGATCGACATCGACGGTAAATGGTACACCATCTAGGCATTCATTACAAATACAACAACGGAAGCAACCAGGATGATATGATTTACCCATTGCCTGTAATATCTGCTCAAGAAAAAGGAAGAATACAAAGAGTTTAGTCAGAATCTATGGATTTTATTTCAGTCAGTCACTACCAAAAAAGGTAATATTTATTTAAGAAGCAGATTTTAAAGTGTGAGAGGTGGATTGAAAATGGAAATAATAATTAAATGAATAATAATCAAGACCTTAAAAAATAAAAATCTATTAAAAATATTTTTTGAAATACTTACCATTTCCATTATCAAATGACCACAAATTGCACATTTTTCGGCTGTTTGTTGAAAACCAGAATACTAAAAATAAATAATTATTATATATAAATAAATACATCAAATGTGTGTTACTATTATTGCTTACCATATAATCTTCTTCACAATAGACACGACCATGGACATTGTAAAATGCCTTGCCGCGTAGGGCACGACCACATGAACAGCATATAAAACAATTGGTATGATATAAATTACCCATGGCTTGGCAAGCTTGACCGGCACCCTTTACCTTTTCACCGCAGGTGTGGCAAATACCTGAACAACAAAAAATTTTTAGTATTATTAATTTTCAATATTGTAAAAATAAAAAAATATCGCTACCAAAATATTCTCCCTGCTCTTCACTTTGCTCAATCTCCTCTTCAAGTTGGCGTGTCAATTCTTCAATTTTACGTTGGGCTTCTGACGGACCAGCCGGACGTGGTGGTGTTACACTATATGGTAGAAGATTTTTAGCTAAGCCTCCTGTAATAGAATTCGACAAAAATTACTAAAAAAACTGTTATGAAAAATAAAAATTTCTTAAAAACTCACCAGTGCTGCTAGTGGCCGATGGTGTTGGAGATGTAGCTGGAATGCTATTGTTACTAGTACTAGCCTGTATGGGTGTAAATAATTTACTATTGGCATTGATGCTTCCCGATGCTACTGTAGATGATGCACCGGTTGGTGATATTCGACGATTCTCAACATTGGCTTGTGTTAAATTGGATTTTGTTCCAGAACTACTAGCACCGCCAATTGATGTCGTCTTCTCAAGAGTATTATATGATGATGCTATGGGCTTTTGTGATTTCAACAGTGGACTACTGTTTAAATTAGCTGTCATACAAACATAATCGGAACTATTGATTTCTTCAATATAATTTGGATTAACAGAGACATTAATACCGGCAGTGTGATGCTACAAAAAAGAAGAAAAGAAAAACATAAGTAATATTAGAAAAACCTTTCTGCCCTTAGAAGTAGACCTTAGGAACTGAGCTTTTAAGGGAACTTCGGGACGCATATTTTTAAAATTCTCTTAAAATGGGATTTAAAAAAAGCTATTTTAAGGAAATGTTTATGCCACAAACATGTATTATTTCTATACAATATTTTAAATTTTTTTAATCCTCAAAATGTCGATCAAAAATATTCAAAGGACTTAGGATTCAAGAAAAGCTTAAGTTTAAGGGCTTCTCTCAGATAAAAAAGCGATACGAGTGGAGCCCCTAAACATGACCTAAGCCGGATTCGAAATAGATCAACAGTCGTAAAAAATATTTTAAGATAATAAATTTTTCCAATCTTGGATATTTAAACGTTGATTTTTTGAGAATATTTTTTCATGGTCCAATTTTATGTCGTGACGATGTAGAAAAATCATTTCGATTGATTACGGAATTCGAAAAGGTATTACTAAATAGTTGTCCATATAAAGTCTCCCTACTGAACACATGGTTAGGCGTGTAAAGATAGGACACAGCTTAGCAATATTTCCAATTGGATTTATTCGACAAAGACTTGCCGCCTGTGAAGCTACGAATCATACGAAGGCGAATTACTACGCTATACTAATATGTATTTAGACGCATATTAATAATTTTATATTTACATTTACTTACCGTTGTCTTCAATGGTGTATGTTGATGCAACTTATAATCATTCGGACCACTCAAATTCGATGTGGAGCTAGCATATGATTTTGAAGGCGATATAGCAGTACTGGGCAACGAGAGATTACGATAACGTTGTGTTGTTGGTGAATTTGGTTCACATGCCGACGACATGCCAGGCTGTCCCGTCGATTGGGCAATAGTTTTCAACGATGAATTTGATGTACTGCGACGATGCATTGGCGATGCCAACAAATCCAATGTATTAACACCCAGATTACTGCTTTGATTCTCGGCCAATTCTAGGGATTGTTGTTGTAAACGACCGGCGGCCGCGGCAGCATGATGTTGTGGTGATGACAGAACCGCATCAATATTATGATGTTGATATATTGTGGCTGTGGCCGGTGAGGCCTGTGGTTGAGCTCTTTGCCCCGAATTGGGTATGACCCGCATATTTTCATATATGGGATTTGCATCGGGATCGGGTACAGGGGTGTGTGCATAACGTATTGAGTTGCTGCCACCACTGTAGCCCATGCCTGGTGGTGGTGGTTGCATTATCATATAATGACCACGTTGTATTGCCTGAGTTTGGCCGAGCGAAGCAGGGCTCTGGGGTTGAGCTCGTTTGTTGATGCTGTCGAAATGTTTAGTCGCATTAACACCGCCGGTATTGTGATAAAAATCCAGATTTTCATAAACCGGTGAGTTGCTGCCATTTGTGCCAGCCTCGCGACCACCACCAACTAATCTTGGGGAATATTGTTGTTGCAAGTGCAACTGTTCAATTTGTTTAGGTGTGGCATACTTTGAAGCAGCCGCAGACGTGATATTGGTCCGCTCATACATGCGATAATCCTCGTGGGATGGTTGCTGCAGTTGTTGTTGTTGTAATTGTCTTTGGGATCTTTGAATACTATTAGTGGCACCAACATGCTGGATATGATGATTAGCTGAGCCACCACCACCACTAATATTCAAACGTTGCATTAAAAACTCATAATCCGACGAATCATTTGTGGAGATTTGAGAAGCCATTGTCGTCTGTATGTCTTATTGTAATTTAGAGGGAACAAAACACTTTTTTCTTAACATTTACTTATTGGACGAATGTTTTCTTAACGGACTTCTAGAAAATGGACAACGCCCTTTCGATGGGGGAAGTAAAATCTTTTTAAATTTGTTTCAATCGTCTTCCTTTTTCCTAATTTCTTCTTTATTTCGTAGATGTTATTTTACAATATCTCAACGCCACCACAATTACAATTATTTGTTAACATTCTGTTAACATTCTTCGTAAAATCTCTTCTTTCCGATATCTTTTATCTTTCTACGGCACACTGATGACACAGCACCGCACCACAGCAATGAACAATGAATGAATGAATGAATGACGTTTTTAAGACGAGCGAGAAAATAATACAAATTGCTTTCGGTTTCGCGTTTTTCTTGTTACAATTACAAAATAAGGAAATGAATACAAAATAATTTATTGTCTTCACCGAAATAAAATTAGAACAAATTGCTGGTTTATTTTATTAATTTTATTTGATTCGTTGTTCAAGAGTTTTCTCTATTTCAGCGACTGAAGAAAAATTGAAAAACGTTCCACTTGCTAACGAATGGGAGGAGAAGACAAAACGGCCGATAAAGATGAATTCAAAATGGTATAAAAGTTTACGAATGAGGTGGGATGGGATGGAGACTAAATGGAAACCGTGTTGTTTACGAATGAGGTTTAGCGTAATCGACTAAACAATAAGCGTGGTTTTACACTGTTGGTGATTGGGATCGGTGTTAAGAGTCTCTCTCTCTCTCTCTCAGTGGTAAATTGTGACTTGTGTTGGAAAACATTACCACAGGTAGGAACAATAAAGTACGAAAAGGTACCTAAAATTCTACTTCAAATGATAATAAATCATAATTATCGAGAAAAATTGGCCAATATTTATACCAGTTATTTGCATAAATCATATATGTTATAATTTAAGCGTAAATGTATTCACGAATAATAAAAAAATCTATTTTTTTTTGGTACGTTTATGTCATTTCGTACCTTTTGTGAACAAAAAGTACGCTTGTTACAAAATTAAAAATAGAGCAACTCTAATTACTCTCTCGATCCCGATAAATGTAAAACCCCGCTATGAATGAAAAACAATATGGCAAATCCAAAGTACATCGAATTAATATAAACTGATTAATTGGTAACCGGTTATCGTAACTATTATTTGTCTCGACTCATGGTAACCCTGTCATTGTTTACATTTCATTCATTGTCGTAAACAGTTGTTGGTTGTGCTCGTGTAAAAGAATTGTTTCGTTCTGTTCTGTTTTTTCTGATCCGTCTTTATTATTAATTTATTTTTTAACTTCTCTGACAAATTTCACATGTACCTGAAATGCTAATCTCTATTTTTAATTAAATAAAATGTTTACTACTCCACTGGTTTTTATTGTTTTACTATCCTCTGTCCTTGGTGAAGTGTGTTATGATGAAATCTCAAAGCAGGACATTGAGAGACATTTATCAACAAAAACACCATATCGAGCCATAGCTAATCTCAACGACAAACCCATTACTGTGGAAGGTAATAGTATGAGCAATTATCATTTATACAAATCTACTAATAATCTATTATCATTATAGGATGTCGACCCACACGACTGTGGTCCATAATAAGACATGGTACAAGAAATCCCAGCAAAAAGGTGATCAAACAGGCCAAAACCCAATTGACTCAACTCAAAGAGAAACTTCTGATGCAGAAAGACACTGAATTGTGTCCGAAATTTTTTGAACATTTGCGAACATGGTCATTTAATGTTTCCACCGAGGAAGAAAAATATTTAGTAGCCGAAGGCGAAGATGAACATATTGAATTGGCAGAACGTATGCAAAATCGTTTTCCCAACCTGTTGGCTGTAGAATATGATCCGCAAATGTTCTATTTCAAATATACTGCAACACAGAGAACATACAAAAGTGCCCAAAGTTTTGCAACTGGCCTCTTTGGTAGACATCGTATTCATGAGATTATTTATCCGGAACCATTGTCAAAGGATCCTGTACTAAGGGTAAGTTAAAGACAAAGAATACTATAAAGAAACGATGACTAAGGTTAGGGCATCATTAAAAATGGTGAAGGTTTCATACACACAACTATAAATATATTTTACCAAGATGTTTGTTGTAATTATGTACTTGAATGCTTTTGCTCATTCGGTTTATAAATACAACATTAGAATATATGTATATAAAATGTTGTTGTTATCTTACGTCGTGGTTAATATAGTATGTCTTGAAATAAAAATAATTGGTGAGTAATATATTTCAATTCATTGAAACATTATTTGGCCACACGGCGACACAATGCAAATTACTATTTCGCTATTGTAAATTTTGTTCGTAGCTCTTTTCTATCATTTGGTAAGGTTTTCCGGCATTTGTCAACGGTATTTTCAATTAGAAAATAGCCACGGTTCAAACCATCTTTATCAATACATTTATGTGAAGTGGTCCCTTCTACAAATCGGGCAAAAATTTTAAAATTTATAAATGAAAAAATTAAAATTGGTCTGTTCCAGAACCAGCAATAATGAACAATTTTTTACTACGATAACAATTTTTCCTTTATGATATCGGAAAAAATAGTAAAAATTAGTAGATTCTTGCAGTACAGGAACAGACCAAATGTTTTCGGCATTGTTTTCGGGTAATATAAGAACAGTACATAGTTTTTTTCAATCGTAAAAATGTCCGAAAAGCCCTGTAATTGATCTGTTCTCGTACAGCAAGAATCTACTAAGTGTGTTCTTGAAGCAATTAGCATCTAAATATAACAAAAAAATATATTATATTTTTAAGTAAGCATTTTTTTATCAATAAATCTAAAAAAAGGCATTTTTGTATTTATAGCGAATATGTTAAACTGTTCTGAAAGAAATTACCGCGCATACGTTTGTATGAAATAAATATTACGACAGATGGACGGACAGACAGATGAATACTTCTAAATATACTACAAAGAAAATTGGAGTCCACAATGAAATAGGTTGGGACCCTTATATGGAGTCTATGTCAAAACTATTCTCTATTTTATTTTATTTCGGATTTTCCTTAATACAAATAAATCATAAAATATTAGGCATACCGAATTTTTAATACGTTTAATATACATCTTTGTGGGTATTATTATTCAATCATTTATGGAAATTTCCCGAACATCATAAACGAATGAAAAAAGTCATGGCCGCTATCAATCAACGTCAATTCACCTTTTGACTTCTTCCGTCAGTGAAATTATATCGATGAATGCCCAATTGGCAGTCGACTTATTTACAGGCTGCCTTATCAACCCCATAAACGTAGCCCTGAAATGGTACACAATGTGAAAAAATTTGTCCTGGTTCCACGTTAACCCAGTGAATTTATCGTTAGAATCCCCAGCAAGGGATATTCCGTCAGGATTTGTGTTCCGCGGTCTTTATTACTTATTATTTTACTTATTTGATATATTATAACCTTTTTATCCTTAGTTATTTCATTTAAATAGCCAAATCAAAATTATAAACAAAAACAAATTATAAATATTTGTATGAGATTACATTTCTAATTCTACATTAAAAGTTTATAAACTACCGCTACATCAACTAGTTTCCCATCTCTGCAAACAGAAACAAAAAAATTAGACAAAACACGACAACCCTATTACTGTCAAATTTCCTAGCAACACGACAACCCTATTGAAAGTTGTTTGTTTTGACAAGCAATCCGTACCATACGGGCATACGGGAGTTGCCGAATATCTCGTCATTGTTTTGTTTTTCAATTACTTTTGTCTGCTATTCCTTCATTATTTCTCCCATTACATGCACGAACATTAATGCACAAAAACAACAAAACATTTTCATTAAATTTGTCACCTGCTTATTTTTATCGTCACTTTCATCAAATCTCTTTTTTACATATTGCGCTATTTTCCATTTGTCAGTGACCGAAGATATGGCAACGCCAGAGATTATGCATGCGGACAAAGTGAAAAAGTCAAAAAGTTGAAACTGTAATGCGTATTTTTACTAGCGTGGTCAATTTACACGGGAAAAAACACAAAAATTTGAAGTTATTCGACGCCAATTCATAGCCAATTCGGTGCATTAGTTGTTCTATTCCAAAGTGAAATTGAAATTCAGTGCAATATCGAACTGTAGTGACGAAAAATTGTGGGAATATTTTCCACAAATATTTGTGGTTATGTTTTGAAACGAAGAAGAAAAAAAAGAGTCAGTCGGCCGTCTCTGACATACATTGTTGTTTGGGTGCAGGTTTGGAAGTGGAGCAGGCGAAAAAACCAAACGAAGAAAATTCCGGCAGTGTAAAATAAAAAAAATTGAATAGTTGTTTTGGATTTTGTGAAAGTACGGGGAAAATGGCACAATGAAAATCCAATAAAGTCAATACCCCACAATAGCAACAACAACACCCTAGTCTTTTCGAGACAAGATAAAAGACGCCTTGTGTGAATGTTCGTCGTTTGTTCAATCGATCTCCTTGTCTAGGTGGTTATTGTTGTACAGTTGATGAGAACACACAGACACACACACTCACACACACCCGGAAAATCAGCAAACGGAATCTGATTCCAGGAAAATGTTCGAATCACACTACATCAATGCCGCCAATGTAAACAACTCGAACAGCGGCAATTGCCCTCCTCCTCATCCTCCGACACAGGCAACAACTGGATCCTCAATTATACCGAGCGGTTCATTTGGTGCTGCCAGTTCACTTGCCAGTGCTACAATATCGACAATGGCCACAAGTATTACCGGTACCGCCAGCAGTGGTACGAATAGCCGCAAAACATCCACTTCCGATAGTCAATCATTACCCAAATACTTGCAACAACTGTCACTGGGTGAACATTTGGATGTGGTACCCGATCATCGCTGTCCCCTCTGTTTCCAGGCCAAACGTCATCATGAGGTCATAGAGGCTATGAAATACGAACGTCAACCTTGGCGTATACGAGAACGCATGAAAACTGCCAGTGTTGCCTTGGTACTGTGCCTAAATATCGGTGTTGATCCTCCGGATGTTATAAAAATTCAGCCATGTGCTCGTCTGGAATGTTGGATAGACCCCTCGTCAGTGTCGGCACCGAAGGCCATGGATCTCATTGGGGCCAATTTACAAATGCAGTATGAACGCTGGCAGCCTCGAGCTAGATACAAAAAATGTCACGATCCCACAGTTGAGGATGTCAAGAAGTTGTGTACCTCTTTGCGACGCAACGCCAAGGGAGAACGTATCCTCTTCCACTACAATGGCCATGGTGTACCAAAACCCACAGCCAATGGAGAAATTTGGGTCTTCAATAAAACATTTACTCAATACATACCGCTGAGTATCTTTGAATTGCAGAACTGGATGGCTGCCCCGTCCATCTATGTTTACGATTGCTCCAATGCGGGCATCATCATTCAATCATTTCTGCAATTTGCCGAACAGCATGAACGAGAAATGGAAAAGGCCATGGCGGCTGCCAATCAACGTGTTCCCCCTGGGCAGGGTCAAACATCCCTGCCAGCCGCAGTTAGTTACAAGAACTGTATCCACCTGGCGGCCTGTTCGGTGGGTGAAATTCTACCCATGAATGCCCAATTGCCAGCCGACTTATTTACATCCTGCCTTACCACGCCCATAAACATAGCCCTCAAGTGGTATACCATGAGAGAGAAATTCGGTTTGGTCCCCCGATTGCACAGTGAATTCATCGATAAAATTCCCGGCAAGGTGAATGATCGTCGCACCATGATGGGTGAACTGAACTGGGTGTTTACAGCCATTACCGATACCATAGCTTGGAATACCTTGCCACGAGAGTTGTTTCAAAAGCTATTCCGTCAGGATTTGTTGGTGGCCAGTTTGTTCCGTAACTTTTTATTGGCAGAACGCATTCTGAGATCGCACGACTGCACACCAGTTTCACATCCTGCACTGCCGCCCTGCTTCCGTCATCCCATGTGGACTGCCTGGGATCTGGTGGTGGATTTGGCTCTGCAACAACTGCCCGATATTCTGGAGCGAGGTGCACCTTACAAACAATTGCCTTTCTTTGAAGAGCAGCTAACCGCATTTCAGGTGTGGCTTGATCGTGAGTCAGAATCACGCACGCCACCCGAACAACTACCCATAGTCTTGCAAGTTCTGCTATCGCAAGTGCATCGGCTTAGGGCCTTGGAGCTGTTGGCCCGATTTTTAGATCTAGGTCCCTGGGCTGTAAATCTGGCTCTGGGCGTTGGCATCTTTCCATATGTACTTAAGTTGTTGCAGAGCTCGGCCAAGGAACTGCGTCCGGTATTAGTATTTATATGGGCCAAGATTCTAGCTGTGGACCCGACATGCCAGCTGGATTTAGTTAAGGATCACAAGTACTTTTTGGCAGTGTTGCAGGACACGACCGTGGCCAAGGAATATCGCACACTGTCTGCATTTGTGTTGGCCTGTATTGTAAATAAATTCCTATTGGGCCAGACAAGTGCCCTGCAAGGCTCGTTGGTATCGATTTGCCTCGAACAGCTGAACGATGAAAGTTGGTTGCTGAGGCAGTGGCTAGCCATATGTTTAGGTAAATTGAACAGATTAACAGTAAATATTCCTGAGATTCATTGTTGTTGTTATTTTGTTTTCTTCTTCCCTTCTTGAATGTGAAGGTATGCTGTGGCAAAATTTTGAAAAGGCCCGTTGGTCTGGTGTTCGTGATTTGGCACATGAGAAACTATATCCCCTACTTAAGGATCCAATTCCAGAAGTTCGTGCTGCAGCTGTGTTTGCTCTGGGCACATTCATCAGTTCGGTTACAGACCGTTCCGAGGAACATGCCAACAACATCGATAGGATAATAGCTATAACATTGCTCGAGAATGTGGCCGAAGATATGTCGCCATTGGTGCGCATGGAATTGGTTGCTGCCCTGCAATGGATGGTACTGCTGTTTGAGTCACAATTTGTTACGGTATATATGCAGGAGCATATGTCCTCGTCATCGGTCAGCAGTGAACGTAGCGCCAGTGTTAGTCATGTTATGCCTGGCGCACCAATCTCAACTGCCGGTGGCGGCGGGGGTCATGGTGGCAGCCATCACCATCATCATTCCACTCATAGCCTGGAACGACATGCCACCATGCGACGTGGTGTCAGTTCTAGTTCTATATCCAATATAAGCTCTTCGGCAATACCCTTCCAGTCGATCTTCTTGAAATTGTGGCAGGGAATCTACCAGCTAAGCCATGATCCATTCCCCAAGGTGGCCGAAATTGCCCGAGAGGTGATCGGTTTCATTAAGAATGCCGCTCTATTGTTGATAACCGCCAAGGAGGCCGCCAATGAAAAGTGCATAAGCTTGAGTGTCAGCTTGCCGCCCAGTCCAAATACTCGAGTTTCGTATCTAAGTGGTGGTGCAGCTGGCACGGGTGAATCGCCACCCACTGGGGTTGGGTGTGCCAACGTAAACCCTGCTCAGGGAAATGCCAGCCCCTGGGCATCCAAACTGCGAAATATGAATGACCCCCAAGCCATGTTGCATCGTAAGTTACGCACAACGTCCATGAACGATGAAACTGATAGTGCCGGTCCACAAATTTCGATGAGTTCTCATGAAACCGCAGCAGCAGCCGGAGGAGGAGGTGGAAATGGTGGTGATGGTTCTGCCTCCGGTCACAGCAGTACAAGCGATACAAACTTCGAGTCAAAGTCACAAACGTTGAAGCCGATTGTGACCACCGAATTCATACCATGGGCCATATCGTACTTTACACGTCCGGGAAAACATCGTTATGCCGCCGATAAGGATAGCGAACGCGTTCAAGTATTTCCCATTGATAAAAATGCGCCCGTACTGCGAGCTCGCGAATGTCGCTTCCAACGTAACCGTCAAATACGCAGCCAGGCTCGCAACCAACAGGCCAGATCACTTCGCATCGATACGCAAAGTTGGATGCGCAGGACGCAGTCGACACCCAGTCTTGTGCGCTTGCTTCCTTATGAGCAACAGATTGCCGTTGCATACCGGGAGAAAGTACTTTTGTACGATTGGCAGCGGAACACGGTTAGGACTTTAACTCCCACAACAGTGCCATCAACGTCGTCCGCCTCGTCGTCATCTGCCACAACGGGGCGCAATCGAACCTCGTCGGCTTCGCCACCGGCTCATGTGCCACACAACAACACAGCTGTGGCACGGGTCAGTGCTATAGAGTTCCTAAATTCTCAAGATTTGCCGCTGACACTGGTTGGCCACGAAGATGGTGTGGTTCGTATTTGGCAACCAAATGCCAGCAATAGTGGTGATGAACAGAGTCGTGATTCGCACGGCCGTTTGGTTACAGCATGGGTAGCCCTGCCCGCATTGCAAGCAGCGTATTTGGGTACCTCGCCCAGTTTGGGTTCTTCGTCGAAATACACACGAAAGGACATCGCTGGAGACGGTTGTGGCATGGTTACAGCTTGGCAGCAGTGTTCCCAGCAGTTGGTGGTGGCCGGCGGTGCGAGTCGCTGCATACGCATTTGGGATGTGGAACGTGAATTGCGCCTAAGTGACATTCCCATTGAGCATAGCATAAGGGTGCTATCGCCATTCTCCAACAATATCGCCAGTGACATTATTGTGGGTGGTTGTGGCGATGGCAGTGTACGGCTTTTCGATAAACGTTGCGCCCCACAGGAGGCTAGCATTCGTGTATATCGCGAACATTCGGGTGCAATACTTAGCGCTTGCCTGAGAGATAATCAGACGACGCTTGTCACGGGTTGTTCCCAGGGCAAAATATGTGTCATTGATTTGAGATCGAAGGTACCCAATGGTGTTCTAAGTCAATGGGATGTGGGCAGTGATGTTACGGCCATTGCATCCCATCAATCGGTTGATATGATAGCATCGGGCAGTGCCAACAAGATAACCATATACAGTAGTCAGCAGGGTGGTCGGGTGTTGAGTACATTGCGTAGCAATGATAGTTTTATGGGTCCGAAGATTGGTCATCCGACATGTCTGGCTTTTCATGTACACAGGATATCGTTAGCTGTAGGTTTTGTAGATAATACGGTGGCTGTGTATGAACCATCACCAGGTATTCTCAAATGAGACGATGATGAAATTCAATCGCAATTTAAACTAATTTATTTTTGTTTTTTTTTTTCGATCTTTTTTAGTTTTATAAATTGTGTAGTCGCTGGCAAAGTGATGTCGATAAAAATCCTCAAACATTTGATAATGTGCGTAAATTTCTACAAGGCGATCACATGCTGGAGGCCATCCATCAAATCAAAAAGAAAACCAAATTAACGAATGATCAACAACTCGATGCTAGCCTTCTACGTCTTATCTATACAATTTGTGGTTTTGAAACTGCCTGGCAGCGACACAAAGCGGAGGCCTCAGTTTGGTGTCAATTGTTGGATCGAAAAACCCTGGAGATTTTAGAGTTTGCCGAAGATTTGGAATACTATTGGAATGATGGCTATGGTTATGATTTAACACATCGCATTGCTTGTCCGGCAATACAGAATATGTTTAAGCACATTGAGTAAGTATTGGTGTTGGATTTTTTGCATTATGTGCGGTTATTTTTTTGGGATAGCAAATTTTCAATTGGGATAAATTATCGATTTGAATGTTAATTTTTTGTGTTTCTTTGTCTAGCCCCCATTCACCATTACCGAATTCAACGTTTTATTTTACGCATTCCGGAACATTGCTTAAGCTTTTGGCACATTTAGGTCTATACAAAGATCCGAATCCCCTGACCCATCAGGATTTGGGCAAGCAACGCAAATGGCGTACAAGTCAGATCGATGCATTTGCCACAAATGTGGCATTTGTTTTGTATGAGTAAGTGGCGCAATGATTTACTGATTTGAAATCCAAATTAATTTTGTTGTTATTATTATTTTAGATGTGATAATGAGGCACCGATGGTCCTTACAATGCATCAAGAACGCATCGTACATATACCAGGATGTCCACAGGACAGCGATTTGTGTAGTTTAAATACTTTGCGTCAGTTGTTTGCCACCAGTTTGGATAATTGCAATTTTGATGAGATGTGTTTTAAATAACCCAAGCCGCCTCCTCCACCCCGTTCCGGCTTAATAATGATGGCTTTGTCGCCGCCTTTTTCTTAAATAACGCACATAATTATATTATCAAATGTTTTACTGGAAATGTTGATGAAGAAGACGCCGGAAAAGAAATTCACTTTACAATGTAAATATTAGGGAAATTTGTTGGGTATAGCAACAAAATAACAAAACAAACAAAAAAATACCTAACATCAAATACCTACATACAGACCAGACTACTACAGCATTAAACCAATTGCATTGTTCAGCGACTATCAATTTGAGTTGATATCATCATCCCCAAGCGATAATAGATATGCAGATGCAGAATTGCTGTTGCATCTTACAACAATGCTGCAGCAGATAATGACCATTTAATTTTTAGTTATTGTTGTTAACCATAACCATCCCACATATATACTTACTTACCTGGAGAGAGAGAATGTTATGTGTAAATATATTTTGGTCTTTTCTCCCTACCTCCCATCCTTCTATACCCCCTCTTTCTACAACAATAATGCACCACTCATCTAATATAAAATATAATTTTGCTACAACAACAACAACAAGAAAAAATACGTTGCCTTGAAGCGTATAAACATGAAAAGTGCTTTCACTTTGTTTTATAAGAATATAAACCTATATACAAAAAACATATACATTCATACATGTTGAGCAAAACAAAATATTCAGATCCCCCTTTTTACAATACACAAGTTCTTTAAGCAAAAAAAAAAACATAACAAAAATTAAATTAAACACAAAAGCATAACAACATCTCATTAACGAAAACGCGTAGTTAGGATTAACCAATAATTAAATGTTTACAACATCAATTGATTGCTAAAACACGAAATCAAACAAACATTGATACCAATTGTAATCTAATGAAGCATCCATTCATCCCTTTCTTATTCTACTTCTTTTTGCCTACTACCCCGACTCCTTTTTCTTATCCTTAATATATACATAACAGTAATTTGTAATTTTAAGTTAAAATTGTTATTGCTATTTTTTTCGTCCGCGGACCGATCCATTTGAACAAACAACCTACTTGTGTTAATGATGCTTTGTGTCTTTTTTTGATCCAAAACATTTTTTTTTTATAAATTTTAATATATTTTTTTTCCTTTTTCCACACTGCAGCATATAAACATACATATATATTTTTGTATTTATAATATTAATAATTAATTATAAACAAAAAAAAAATAATTATAGTTGATAACATGCAATAAACACATAAAAAAGTAAAAAACAAACGAAGACAAAATAAAGAAAAATAGAACAGAAAATGTATTTAAATATTGTTTTGGGATTTAATATATAAAGGGAAGAGGGGTTAATGACATATCAAAAAAAAAGCCACGGTATTCCTATTGGTGGATTATAAAACTATGTTCTATATGCTAGGCTTAATATTAGGTAATATTAACAAATGAATTAATGACAAAAGCCAAGTGAATTGAGAGAGCAGATTTGACAGTTGTGTTACTGGGTGTTTTGCAAATTCTTACAAGGAAAAAATTTACTCAGTAAGAATTTTCTTGTGAAACCAGCTGATATTTAATCAGCTGCTTTGGTTTGTTTTGTAAACAAACGACTAATTTTTTTCTCAAGAAAGTTGATTGTTTTGTGATTTTTATATTGATTTGGCACCATTAAACATTAAAATAGATAAAGTATTTATATACAACATAAATTTTCCGCTTTTTATCCATTTTTGTAAGAAAAATACTTTTTTGTTGGCGCCAAATTATTTGTTGTTTTAATCAGCTGTGTCGATACAATCTTTTTACTGGATGTTTGTTTACTTTTTGCAATTTTCTCTCTTGAGGAAAATTCGTATTTTACTATCTGCCGACATTTACTGAGTAAATGTTATGTGGCATCTGTTCGACTTTTTTCTCAAAGCATAGATGTCTGAATGTAGTCAAAGATCGACTCAGCTGTTGTTTTATTAACATTTTCTAGAAGAATTTGTGTAAAAAATCTTATGAATCTATTTGTTTGGCAAAATATTTTTGACATATCAAATTACAACAACCGATGTTTGTTGTAGAAATTCGCCTATGAATTTACCATGGATCGACTTGCGGTTAATTAGTAGGCAGTGTTACCGCTGAGAATTTTAAAAAAGTTGCACAAAAAGTCGTTTCATTGAAAAAAAGTCGTTCACCCATGGAACTCAAAACTGACGTTGACTTTAGTCGCACAACGGTAACCCTGTTCGTAGGTCATTATTAACACAATTTTGTTCTCCTGTGTATTTTGTGTCCGACATCGGCGTTGGTTTGTAAACGGATTGAAGTCGATGTACTATAAAAAAGTTACTCGATACCAATACTGGTAATAATAGCACCGGCTTGCCGCTTGCAGCCATATACTCCAAGATTCGGTCATTTTGGTAAACTATCAAATTATTTGTTTACCTTTTCACACGATTAAATCAAAGTTTAAAGCATTTTGACAGCTCGGGTGACATCATTTGGCCTTATCGGCCGACCTTATTATTGGGCAATGGTGACGTCATTCTCGCCCATAATAGGTAGTTACTCTCTTGACTAAGTCGGTCAGAATCGGTTTCTTTTTGTGGAGCCAGGTTGAATAGTTGAAAAGTTAGTAGTTTTTAACAACTCAGTTTATTATAATATTCCCATATGTATATTACCTTTGGCAATTTTTTCCATCAAAAATTTTTTTGATTTTGATGATAGGCCTTGGCCTTACTAATGAGCCTTGCTTCTGATCTTCAATTTTCTTTTCCCAATTTTGAAGATGACAGCGTTTAGAACTGGTCCACACTACTGTTAAAGAAATTAGGCGTTCATAGACCGAGTTCCACACCGCAGTAATTGAAAAAATCTTAAGCCTGGAATTCGATGTAAGAACTTACAATTGCATGTAAAATAGGTTTCTTTAAATTATTGAACCGGGAAAGTAATAGATTAGTTTTAGTGTGTAGGAATGCTCGTCCTTATAATGCGTATACATTATACCGGATTTATAAAATTCAGTAGATCTAAATTGTCAATTCCATTCCATATCGTTACCTAAAATGCAAAAAGGCGTAACTAACAAAAACATTATTGTGTAGGAGAAGCAAAAACCAGTTTTGAATGAAAACTATAAACATGTCATGTGAAATGAAAAAGTATGCCCGGCAGGGCGATATTGCATATGACGAATAATAGACTATAACTTTTTTTTTTAACAAATTTAGTTATTTAGTTTAATGGCAGTCATAACAATTAAGTAAAAACGTGAATTTTTTGTTAGTTACGCCTTTTTGCATTTATCAAATAAACCCACTTGTAGTTACATCTTTTTGTTTTTTGTTAATTGAAGCTCCTTTTTTGACCGCAGACGTGTAAAACTTTGTCAACACATGTAGTTTATTAACATTCACAATATTCATTCAAAATATCAATTTTCAATTTTTTGTTAGTTACGCCTTTTTGCATTTTAGCTGATTAGCCATTAGATCTACTGAATTTATAAATCCGGTAAAATGTAAACGTACTATAAGAACTTTTCGCCAAGTTATAGTACGTTTACATTGTACCGGATTTCAGTAACCCAGTTAGTTTAAATTGTCAATTACATTGTATACATGTCAAATAAATCTTTAAAAAGTAGGTTAACCCGGTAAAAAGTTCTAATGTATATGCCGTTTTAACTTCTTTTATGAGGAGCTTAACTATAACCTAGCAAAATTTTCAAAAAGTTTATGCCTTTTTATGAACACTGCAACAGGTTGTTTTGTATTTCATGTGACATTTATTACAATTTAATGTCATTAAACCACAACAACTCAACTTGTATATTTGTTATTACAAGGTAAGATTTCAATTCAATTGTATTTATTGGTCTGTTCCTGTACTGCATGAATCTACGAGTTCTTACTATTTTTGTCGATATCATAAAAGAAAAAAGTGTTATCGCTATAAAAAAATAGTATATTCTTGCATTACAGGAACAGACCATATGTAAAATAAACGGCATATACATTAGAACTTTTTATCGGGTTAACCTACTTTATGAGGATTTATTTGACATATATGCAAAGGAATTGACAATTGAAACCCACTGGGTTAACGAAATCCGGTTAAATGCAAACGTACTATAAGCATTGCCAAACACACATAAGGTCTGTTCCCGTACTGCAAGAATCTACCAGATTTTACAATTTTTTTTTTTGATATTATAAAGGAAAATTCGTTATCGTAGTAAAAAGTAGTAGATTCTTGCAGTACGGGAACATACCATATGTCAATACAACACCTGATTTTCATATTTTACTATAAAATGTAAACACTACATAAATTATTATTTTTTCGAACATATAAAGTACGCCGTTCATCGGCACTACCACACCGGCTCTGGCAACCTGTTAACTGTCATATGTGTTGACGTTAACCCAACAGTATCGTCTTTGTTCTCTGCTCTCGACAGGTTTGCCTTTTTTCTCGCTAATTTTATTGAAGTTTTTTTAAACGAACCAAATCACCACCAAATCTGGAAATCTAGAAAGCACGAAAACACACCAACAAGACGCATACGGGAATAAAACAATTCTGCAAAAAAGACATTTAATTACAAATAAGAGTAGCCCAGTAGATTTCCACTTTATTTCATACTAATGCAATAGCCTCGGTGGGAGAGACAGAAAAGAAGCTGACAAAATGGATTTCGGAACACTACTCCATATGGCCAAGAAAAACAGTGAAACTAATAAAAATGATGTAAGTTAATAAATTGACAGTAATGATTTACAACTGGGCATTTTGAAGGTAATTACAGAATTTCACCACAAGGAGAGATTAGTGGTTCATTGACACAAATTTGTAATTATCTTGGATGCCTTCGATTCGAACGATCACTGTTATATCCATTGAATGCAACCTTTCGATTTTATTGTTTTTGTGTGTCGTCTCTTTAATGTGAGATGTTGTTTTTGTTGTTATCTTGTAGGGAAAATATTACAGCACAAAATTTGCTCCTCCCAAAAAGGAATCAAAGGAAAAAAAATTATCGGACAACATTAAAAAGTTCCTCCAAAAGAAGGAAGAAGAAGAAAGAGCCAAGCAGAGGGAGCAACAGGAAAAACTCAATAACCTGTTGTCTATGCGGGATGAGAAATCGAAAAATAAAATTCGGAAAATGTTAAAAGTTACAAAATCGGCCAACAGATCGGTATTGGAAGATGCTGTCAATACCGAACACACAGCCATTACCATGGCTGGGGTTGATCAGCCAGATGCGGACGATTATGGCTATGTATCAACGGAGGCTAACTCCTTTTTCCAGAAATATATTGATAAGGCAAGTCATGCTGTGTTTTGAATGAGCTTCGAATATTAATTTAATATGTTGTGTTTGTGTATGTGTTTAGGTTAAAGATGTCAAAGAAGACAAAGGATTTGCTCCAAGCAGACCACAATCACTTAAAGATCTCACAGGCACAAAGGAACGCGTTAAGGCTGCTATCACCAGAGAAATCGAAGAGAAAAACAGTCATACACGTACACGTACTCCCAAGGAACATTCATCGTCCAGCTCTGGCGTGAATGTAGCACGATCTTATCAAACCTCTAAAAACCTATACGATCCAGAAGCTGAACGCAGGGCGGAGGAGGAAGAGCGACGGAAACGTGAGGAGGAAATTCGCAAAAAACGAAAAGAAATCCAAAAGCGACCACCACCACCAATGGATTTCCAAGCCCTATTGAAATTGGCGGAGCAAAAACAACACCAGCCTATTGAAATACCCGTTGCAGTGCCCAAGAAAAAGGAACCCGAAAGACTTTTAACGTCACGTGAGAAACGGGAAATGGAGGAACGGGAACGGGCTAAAAAGGCCAGGGAACAAAGGGAACGTGAACGCAATGAGGAACCCAAAAAGAGTTCAAGCAAAAGCTCAGGATCATCTTCCTCCTCCGCCACGTCCACAAATGCTGTGCAAAGAATGGAACCAAATGGCAGGATACCGAAGCTTGGTCAAGCTGGGTCATCGAATGGTAGTAGTAAAACGTCAAGCAGTGCTGATAGAAAACCTCTAAGCCATGACACTAAAAAGTCCTCTAGCAGTTCAAGTTCATCGACAAATAGCAGCTCTAAACATACCTCAAGCTCAATTAACGGATCGTCGTCAAAAAGCTCAACACACACATCATCATCGTCATCAAGTACAAAACCTAAACCAAGTGCCTCCAGTAGTAATGCCAGCAAATCATCATCCAGTAATAGTAGCAGTAGCTCCAATAAGGCAAGCAGTACTGCGGCCATTAAAAACCCCTATGGAACTACAAGCAAACAGCCATACAATGGCCCCGCTCGTGAATTCCCACCACGTGATCCCAAATTAACAAAGACAAGAGAATTTCCTCCACCTGATGTGCAAAAGACCAGACAATTTCCACCACCTGATGTGCAAAAGACAAGACAATTTCCGCCGCCAGATGTTCGACGTGGCCCAGGACCCAGCAGTAAATATGGTGATAGTAGAAAAACTTCAGCACCTAAAAGTAAGTAGATAGTCGTAGAAATTAGAATAATTTTTAAAACGTTTTGCGTTTTTTTCCAGGACGCATTTTGGATGATGATGACGATTCAGAATACGATTCTGAATTGGATGATTTCATTGATGATGGCGACGAAGAAGAAGATTATTCCTCACATATCAAGGCCATATTTGGCTATGATAAGTCAAAGTATGTATTGGAAACAAAATCTGACACCTTTTAAGATTTAGATTATTAATGTGTGTGTGTTATAAATATTACAGATATAGAGACATTGATGAAGAAGATGATCGTATGATGGAGGCTAGTTTTGCACAAATTCAGCGAGAAGAATATATTAGTAAAAAGATTGGTAAGTATTACAAAAACAAAACAAAAAAAAAAAACATTTTTTATTTGAATACAAAACATAACATTTTTCTTCATTTTCATTATGCAGGCATGCAAGAGGATTTAGAAGATATGAAACTTGAAGCCATGGAAAAGAAACGTAAAATGATGAAAAAACGTCGTCTTGCCGATTAGGCGTAATGTTACCGCTAATGATTTTACGCTTATTAACTTGCTTTCACTTCAACGGAGTTCGGATTTATACTATATAGAATATTCAATAAACACATATGGCCAAATAAAAATCTCTTCGATACACAATATGCCTCTATATATTTAACCTTATTCATATGAATCTTTACATATATATGTATGTTATATATATATATATATATATTTATACCGATTAAGTAGAAAATCAAAGTATTTTATAATAATATTAATAATAAAGAAAATAATGTTACACGATTGCAATATAAATGGAATAATTATTAAAATAAGGGATTTTTTATGCTTTTAAATGAAATTTTATTTATGTGATATTCACCTGTGGTAAAAATTAAAAAAAAAGATGAGATGAGCCCCTGAACTTATTGCAATTGTGAATTTGATAATATACGCCTATAAAGTAAAGTGCTTTTAGATGTACGAAATCCACTCGATCTCAAATGTCAAAAACATAGCGTATACGTCAAATATAATACACTGGATTAACGTTACGTATACGCTATGAAATTGACGTTTGAAATCGAGTGGATTTAGTAGTCTAAACGTACTCTTAGGAAAAAATAGTAGATCCTGGACCAACATTTTTAGATTCATAGAGAGTATACACTATCAGTTTGGACGGTTAACTTTAGTTTTCTGACTGTCCAACAACCTTGAATATTACAGTTCGTTCTTTGGACGTCTCACAAGAAGGATACACTCAAGTTTATAAAAGTTCAAGTTGATTATCATCTGCTCCACAAGTTTGCTGTCAACGTAAACAAATACAAAATTTTTGACATTGGACTTAAGAAAAAACAACAGACTTTCACTTGCTGTGTGACCTTATTAATAGATCTTGGACAGCCCGAGTGAAATCTTCTGGCTTTGTCGGATGACCTTGTTATTCAAGTTTATACGCCCTCAGGTCCAAAAAAATAAAAAAATCATACCATATTAATAAGGTCGCACAGGGAGGCCAGTTGCAGCTTCTCATTTTATGCTGTCAAAATTCATTATTGTGAATTGACTTTCAATATAAAAACGTAAACAAAGTCTACATTTAAACATTATCTTGGACAACGCCATCGCAGACGGTTGCTTTCGCAAGAGTAAAGAAGTGTGATTTTAAGTGCAAATATAATAAAAGTGACGCCATCGATTTTTTTATAAAAACGCATTCAATAAAAAGAATTCGAAATTCATATATTCATATGAAAAACATTAATAAACTTAATTTAAAGCTTACGCTTTAAAAGAAAAACTTGTGAACTTTAATAAAGTGACGCTTCATAAAAATTACGCATTAAATGAAACATCAAATAAACCTTACTTATTAAAATCAAAATTCTTATTGTGACGAAAATACAAACTGGCTATTAACTGTTTAAAAGTGTTATAAACTAACAACAAAAAATTTCTATTTTAAAAAACTTTCATTTTTTCAATTGTTTGAAAATAAGCTTTTGCTAACCTCGAGTTTGAATTTGTGAAACGTCTTAGCATTGGCGTCGCTGTACCGTTCATATAACGGGATCTTTGTGGCGTCAGTATACAGAAACTGACGTGCAGAATAGCACAAAGCTAAATAGTGAAAACTACAAAACTACAACATGGAGGAGGACGTGGTCCTCCCTCCACCTCCTTTATCGCCGCGTAGGCAAACCACCAAAATAGAAAAACCAAAAACTAACCGTAGCCGAAGTCGAAGTGGAAGTAGAGTGGACGATATCAAGAAGAAAAAATTGGAAGATGACAATCAACAGGGGAGGCTAGCGAAAAGTGATGACGCACCAATCAGTAGCCTTAGTGAATTCATCCCAAGTAATACAGGTAACATCTCTACAGGTAAGACCCCGCAATTAATGGTTAACAGGCCTAACAACTATAATTTTTTTTATGATCAAGACCATAAAGGCCCCTATGTCGTGTATATTGACAAAATCAGTAAAGATAATGATCGAGTAGGAATAAATACAGTCAGTCTAACGCGAACTATATTCAATTTGAAAATTCAAGGTGTTTTGGATATAAGGAAAATTGGTTTCGGACGTAGTAAAATATTATTAAATAGTGCATCAAATGCTAATCTGCTGGCAGACAATGATACCCTAATCCAAATGGGTTATCAACCTAAAATTTTTTCGCATTTTGTTTAAAAAATTGGCATAATTTTTGGCATACCGGTAGATATTCCTGATGAGGAACTCTCCGCCGCTATAAGTTCAGAGATTCCTATAATAAAAATGATGAGAGTGACCAGGATGGTAGAAGGAACACGTTTGCCTACCCAAAGAGTTAAAATATGGTTCAAAGGTCTTAACCTACCACAAACTGTCAAAATCTATGAATTTCACAGAAAAGAGGTCAAACATTTCATCCAATTTGGAAGATGCTATAGATGCTATAGACATGAACATACGGCGGAACACTGCAAACAAAAAATAGAGTCATGTAAACGCTGTTTTTCTCCTCATGAGAAAAATGAGCCTTGTGCTGAAAAAATAATCTGCATCAATTGTAAAGGTGATCACAGCCCATTGGAAAGAGGCTGCCCTGCCAGGCAAAGAGCGTACGAAACCAAAAGAATCATGACAATAGAAAACTTGTCCAAAAAAGAAGCTAGAGAGAGATATGCAGGTCATTTTAACTCATATAGCATACTCGATGAGGACATCGACAAAAATTTTCCAACACTAGAAAGGTCCAACAAAAATTCTAAACACCCCAATGGCAACAACAACACCATTAATAATTACACTGAATCAGCTAATTTCATTCATGCTAGATCGTCATATGCAAGAGTAGCGAAAGTTAACAAGAATAAAATTAGAGAGCAGGAAAATGCTAGAAAAAATATGAGGGAGTACAAGGATGCTTTGGAGGAAGGGGAAATTTACTCCTCCCCCAATGGGTCACAAATACGTAAAACCCAAGAAATTCTAGACACTGTACTAAACAACATCAATGAACTAACATCCGAAAAAATAGGTAAATTAAACGAAGCACAATCAACAACACTTAAAAATATTAAAGATAAAATCCTAAACGAAATACTTAACATTGATGTACTTTTGGTTAATCCTAACAGGAAACCTAAAGAAACTACCAGTATTATTCAGGAGATTATCTCCTCCAATTCCAAATAATCTATTATGACGCTTAAAATACTGCAGTATAACATACAAAGTATAAACAAAATTGAAAATAAAAACATCCTTGAACTCTTTCTTGAGAAAGAAAAAATTGACATAGCTCTTCTAACCGAAACTTGGGTCAGAGATGAAACAAGTACCAATCTATGCAACTACAATTTTTATGGAAAAAAAAGAGACGATGGCTACGGTGGTGTGGGCATCTATATCAAGCGCAAATTTAAATACTCACTCATTAATTTTGATAATGAACATGAGGTAATTGGAATCTCTATAATGAATATCAAAAATCCTTTTAATATTGTAGTTGTTTATATACCTCCTAATACTAATAGATCTATTTATATAGACATAATTACAGACGTTTTTCAGAAAATCAACTGTCTTAAACATCCTACCTTACTTGTTGGTGACTTCAACGCTAAATCCATTTCTTGGGGAAATACCCACACCGATCCCTTAGGGGATGTGCTTGCCAGGTTCGCGGATATTAACAACTTCTCATGTCTCAACACTGGAGAGCCCACTTTTGTTTTAAATAATACACGCTCAGCCATTGATATCGCTTTTTCCAACAGTACTTTCTTCAACTTTTCTTGGTCAGTCAGACAGAACAAAATCACAAATAGTAATCATTTACCTATCATTATCGAAACTTGCAACAAAGTAGCCATTAAAAATAGCAAAATACTGCATAAAGATAACCTCTACAATGATATCAAAGGTATTATTGTTGAGGACAACTTACAACAAACTAATATCAAAATAAACCAAGCCATAACCCGGAATACAATTGTGGTGGATTCAAATAGCAAATATGTTCCCAAACCGTGGTGGAACGCCCAGGTGAACGATCTATATAATGAAAGAACTGCACTCAGAGAAATCTATCAAAAAACCAACTTATTCACGGATGCCTGTAATTTAGCGAAAATAGAAAGGAAACTTTACAATCTTATAGCCAAATTAAAAAAGAAAAACCTTAAAAAGTTACAAAGCGACATATCTGGAAATGTCCCCATCAAAGAAGTATGGACCAAAATGAAGAATGTCAAAAAATATCAGAAAATAAAGTCACCCAACAATACCTGGAGTGATGAACAGAACGAAAACTTTTTAAAACACATAACTAGTTCTTCACGTATCTGTTCCAAACCAACTTCTGTTGTTTTTGGTAATATTGGCACAAATAAACCGGAACTTCAAATAAGGGACATGGAAAGTTTTCTTGTCAAAAGGAACATAAATTCAGCTCCTGGACCAGATCGAATTTCATACAACATCATTAACAATCTGGATGCTTCTGAAAAAAATAAATATCTCAATGTGCTGTTGCAACCATGGAAAGATGGCTCATTTCCGAGTGAGTGGCGCAATATTAAAATAGCCCCTATACCCAAACGAAACAAAGATTTATCCGAAGTCAAAAATTATAGACCGATTGCTCTCATGTGTGCCCCACAAAAAATACTTGAAGCTGCGATCAAACCTTTAATATTAGAACACATAGAGATTAAGAAAATAGTTCCAAAAAGTTCTTATGCCTTCTCCTTGGGTAAATCCACCACAAATTGTATTAATGACCTAGTTAACACCATTGAAATTCACAAGAAAAACAAAAATACTGTTGTTGGTGCCTGCATTGACATCGAGAAAGCTTTTGATAACACCGATATTGGTAAACTAGCATTAATCCTTTTTAAATCAGGACTCAATACCCATATCATAAAATGGATCTATGATGGCATGTCACAGAGAACATTACTATTGGGTAACAAATCCATACCAGTCTGCAATGGAATTCCTCAAGGCAGCGGCTTGAGTCCCATACTTTTCAACATCTACACGGCTTCGCTACACCAAATAATTGATGATAGCTGCAATCTATTTCAGTTTGCTGATGATTTTTTTATCGTTTGCCATGACAAAAACATTAACAACGCCAAAACTACGCTGCAAAGCAAGATAAATGTTTTTCAAGAATTATGCGATAAATTATCCTTACATTTCAACATGGAAAAAATTAATACTGTCCACTTTAGCAGGAAGCCTCAACAACTAGGTATCATCATTAACAACATCAGACTAAATCAAACAAATTCAATTAAATATCTTGGGGTAACCATTACATCTAGTGGTTCAGCTAAAGTACATATGAATGAATCAACATCGGCTGTCAAATCGAGTTGCAAGTTCTTAAAAATTTTGAGTGGTTGCAAATTTGGTATCAATCCATCTAGAGCGTTGCATTTTTACAAAGCATTTGTCAGATCCAAAATCGAATATGGCGCATCATCCTTATCAAATTTAACAAAAGAATCCGAAAATAGACTCAAAACATGCATTCAAGAAAGTCTCAGAAGAGCCCTTGGACTCATAAGATCAACTCCTACTGCTATTATCTACAATCTATCATGCGAATTACCTCCTAGCTACAGGTTTCAACTTGCTACTGCCAAGGAGCTTGCTAAATGCGTTGCATTTAACCTTCCTGGTGCTGAAATCATAAGAAATAATACAAGCATAAATACCAGCTATGCCAAGGTATGGTCAAAATTTGAAAATATATTATCAGATATTGCTAGTACTAAAGTCCAGGGTTCCAATTCTTTGATAATTAAAGTTGACACCTTCTTTTTTAAGGGAACCAATTTTAAAAAAGCGGAAGCCAATCACGAAATAATTACCGCAATTGCCACTGAAAAAATTAATAATCTTAGGAATGCTGGATATGAGATTTTCTCCACTGACGGTTCAGTCAGCAACAATGCCATTGGGGCTGCCTTCTACCATCTTAATACAAATACTACAATGTCTTTTTGCACCTCAAAAAAACTATCTTCAATGTCAGCCGAAGTTCTAGCTTTTCTCAAAACAGCTGAGTATGCAGAAAACAATGAAATTCAAAAATTTGCCATTCTTACTGACAGCTTAAGTGGTATTCAGGCCATCAGCAACCAAAAACATAGAAATTATTTGATTGATGCTTTTATAAACAAGATTAATAGTTTTGCCACTGACATACAAATTCACTACATTCCTGGTCACTCCAACATTCCCATTAATGAAATTGCTGATATAGCTGCAAAAAATGCAATCCAGAATGGAACCAGTCTTGAAATTCCATGGCCCCTAGCGGATGCCATTAATCAAATATCGAATATACTCTGGAACGAATGGAGTAGCGAATATCATTTAATAGCTCAAAACGGTAATTCTCATTTTTATAAAATCTTTCCTTCTTTATCCAGAACTCCTTGGTTTAAAAATTGTAAATTTAATTCCTTTTCTCAAAAACAGATAAATCGTGTACTTAGCGGCCATTGTTTTTGCAAGAATACACTAGCCAAAATGAATGTTGTTACATCTAATTTATGCCATGATTGCGGGGTTGATGAAACTGCTTCCCACATTATTTTTGAATGCAGTAAGTATAATACCAAACGGAGATGTTTCCTAACACTATGCGATTTCTTCACTGTTGAAGACTTCGTTAATTCACAAGGCTTAGAGCGCCTGAACATAGTAGCTAAATTCCTCAAAGAAGCTGAAATCGACATTTAAAATATTGCCAACACCGAACATGCCATTAAATCGTAGCAAAGCTACATACGGATACATGGCACTAAACCTTCTATCCCTATAGAAAGTGGGCCAACCAAAATAATACATAAAAAAAAAAAAAAAAAAGTCTACATTTTTTACATAAGACTTGAGTTGACTATTGCTTGCTGGGTGATAGTTTGTACTCGCCTTAAACAGTGTCAGATAGCTGATTATCACCTGTTTTTCAAGTTTACTGTCAAAATACATTATAGTGAATTGACTCGGTGACCTTATTAATAGATCCTGGACAGCTCGAGTGAAATCATACTATATTAATAAGGTTGCATATCAGCAGCTTCTCATTTTTGCTGTCAAAATTCATTATTGTGAATTGGCTTTCATTATGGAAACGTAAACAAAGTCAAAATTTTTGACGTAAGACTTGAGAAAAAACTGACTATTGTTTGCTGGGTGATAATGAGTACTCGCCTTATACGCTGTATGTTGGTCTGTCACAAGGCCTATAAATAAGTCATCCAGCTGGACATCAGTTGCCACTCAAGTTTGCTGTCAAAATCCATTATTGTGAATTGACTTCCATTAAGAAAACGTAAATAATATGAAAAGTTTTTGACATTAGACTTGAGAAAACCAGCTGTCTTCCGATTTCGATTGATACCTGGGTGACCTTATTAATAAATATTGGTAGAAAATGTGACAACTCATGTTAATAATATAGTTTATGTAATTTATGGTGACATTGTATTTTCTGTATCTGTCACATATAAGTATTCCGGGGAGCAAGGGCCAAGCAGCAATAAATATAATCTTAATCTTGAATTTATTTGACATGGTATTCAAAGCAATGAAAAAAAAAAACAGATCATTTGATAAAACAGGTCACTTTGGGAAAAATGTAATCAGATGGTACTTTCTAATAATTATACCACGATAACCTTATAATATTTTGCCATGATGTTTATTCAAAAGTGATAGTATTTTAAAATAAATTATATTAAATTAAAAATAAAAAAGGTAAAAAATAATTCATTAAATCATATTATTCTTTTCAAAAAATGGCTTGTGTAAATACAACGCCATGTTTTCAAATTAATTTTCATTTCAACTACAATTTGTCATCCCCATCAGCTGATTTATAAATCCCTATCAAAATAAGAAGAAGCAATCAAACAAAAGTCGACTGATATGCCCCTATTTGGAAAAGAAGAAGAAGACATCTACTAAGAGGAAGTTTGCACGCGTGTAAAAATCTAAATCGCGATCGAATAATTGTGAAAAAATCGTAATAAATCACTCAACTATATACAAAAAACACGCGACGCTGTGTCTAGCACCGGGTCGGACTTGAAATAAGCGTATTTAAAGTGTCGAAAGTATAACTTTTGTGTGAAAGTTTCGGTTTTCTGTGTTCTCTCGCTGGCAATATTTGTTGGTATTAGGAATGAGTGAAACGCGTGAACAAATTTTGGAAGAAATTAAAGTACAAGGTGATTTGGTGCGAAAATTAAAGGCGGCCAAGGAACCCAAAGAAAAGGTACGTTTCAAATGCTGCACAGATGGGTCGTCATCCTCCTCCACATGGGAGGGTGGCGGTGGTGTTGATTAAATCGCATGTTTTGTCAACTAACCATACCAAACGACTCGGTCAGGCCAGGGAGGTATTACACATATATATTGAGTAACCATTGTGTTGGAGTATAATTCAAAATTTAGAGGAGTCATTACTAACCAACCCCTTTGTGTATATTTCTTTCTTTTTTTTGGCTTTACGTATGGACGACGGCACTAACTAACCTACGTGTGTACCTCGGCAAAAGCCCAAAGCCAGCCGTAGTACATATGCTGTATGTTGGTTGTGTTGTGTGTACGCGTCTGTATGTTTCATTTTTGAAAAGTGTATGTATCATAAAGTTTAATGAAAAACTCAAAAATTTGCAAATTCGTTTAGACGAGACTTTGAGATGTTTTCGTTTGTTTGTATGATTTGTATTTTGTCCACTGTGAGTCGTCCTTAGCACCCTCCATAATGATTATCCGAATTACTTGTAGATTTCATCATCACATGTCACAATAAACCATAAATTATACTCATTTGTTTCCTTTTTTGCTTCGTGATTGTTTGAGTCATCATCAACTCCGTGGTATTTGCTGCACCGCGCTCTACCCTTCCACCTTCACCTCCATCCACATCAAGCGATTGTTTTGTACATTCAAACCACACACAATTAGAGCAAAACTTAGTGTTCGAACGTACCACTAACTCTTAACTTTCACATTTGCCGTCTTGTAGTTCATTTTTTTGTCAATCATTGTTTCATTTCGTTTTTTATGTAGGGGAGACTGGGGCACCTTCGGCACTTTTTTTTTAGAGCTCTATATTTCAGTACTTATTCAACATATATAAAAACTTTATGGCTGATTATTGTCCTCTGACTCTTAATTATAAAAAATAGTACCAAAAAGATATAAAAAAATAGTATTAGTTAAAAAATTTTACAGTTTTGTAAAAAAGTCAAATTCGCTGAATGTGCCCCAACCCGGGGTAACTTCGGCATTTGATGGGGCACATTCGGCACCATAGTCATAGCCGGGTAATTGTCATCGCTATCAGACTGGTTGAAATTCTGATCCCCTAAAGGCTCTATTTGGTTTTAATAAGCCACACAATGTTTTAATTATTTGGTTTTATTTTCTAGCGGCGGACGTTTACATCTCAAGGTCGCACACACCATCAGAAATAGGGGTTTTCTATCGCATTTTCGTCAATACAAGCACGTTTGATCTTAAATATGCAATTTCGAGCCATATTAAAGGATTAGTTTTAAAGACAAACTCAAAAACATTTTAAGGAAATAATATTGCACAATCTGTATATGGCCGAATGTGCCCCATTGTAAAATGCCGAATGTACCCCGAATGTACTTTTTATAGTTTTTTTCATTTTTTTCGATCAGATTTCTAAAACATTATATTTTTAAACATTTTTGTAATAATACACATCGTAGTTAACCACTTTTTAATAATATTGTCTTAAAAACTTTAAAAGTTTTATACACGTACTTGAAATGGGATTGAAATATTACAGAAACATCTATAAAAATACAAAAACCTGTGTATCTAAATAAGCTTATTAGCTAGAAATTTCAAACTTTGTGTCAGTTATTTATTTCGATATTCGATGACACTGTTGCTAGTGATGTACGGTAGATTTATCGAAAACGCGATTGCCAAGGTGCCCCGTGGAGGTGAGTGGTTTGGTTACCATTTTTTTTGAAAATTTGACCCACAATCACTCAGTATTGCTTAGTTGTCAGACTCTAATAAGAAACCCTGAGATGAAAACCTGTTTCTTTGTTTCATTAAAGAATTGAATGTCTAGTTGGCATTTTGCAAACATGATTGGTTGCGATTACGTTGGAAAAAAGTAGGGGAATTTTTCCGCGTTTAAAAATCAGCTGTTGTTTATTTGGTTTTTTATGCTTACCTGTGTTTACATGTAAACCAAACAAACAGGCGAACAACCAGCCAGCAGCATAATGAAAACAAACAAGACCAGCACCACCACCAAGCCATCCTTCTGTTCAGTTTCCTTTCCTTATGATGGGTATTACAACAACCATTACAGCACCACCACGTGCATTGTTGGGGTAGTCTTGGCGGTGGTGGTGGTAGTGTAATTTTCCTTTCTTGTTCCATTGTTGTTGACACTGTTGCTACGTTTAATGTTTAAATGCCAATGGTGGAGTGGAGTGAGTGGTTTGGTTATGTTTGTTTCTAGCTTCTGATTTATGTGGTTTATGGTATGACCTTGCAAATCGTCATTCTTATGTTGTTGTTGCTGCTTTAACAATGGTTTATCTTTGCATAATTCGACACATTCCTTTTTCGGACAACTGAAGTTTTAAAACTATAAAATATAAAATTAGAGTTCGAATTCTAGGTCTTATATTTAAAGACCGCGCTAGTGGGAGACCACTTTTCCTATTTCTTCTTTGGGACTAATGACTGACCTACTTTTTAGAAATATGTAGTGTCAAATTCACTTATAACGACGATCAATGTAACGAAAAACATTATGCGCCGTTTTAGTGAAAACGAACAGATTGTTTATGTCGGTCTAGACAAGGACTTGGTGTTAAGCCTAGTAAATTTTGTTGATACGTCCAGGTATCAATAACGATACGTTCGAATATAGTTGAAAGCCTGGCTGTGCACCATAGGTCACTTGTGAGCACTAAATTACCAGTATCTTTTAATATTATTTCAGGTATCATTCGGTGAATTTAGATGTGTCAATTTAGACCTCGAAAAGCTCGAGATTTCTTTTGAGACTCGATCAATGTCTGTTCGCAATTCTTTTTTAATTCCAATAAAAAAAATCTTTCATTTTTTTAATTCATAAAAAAACATTTCCTGTAAAGATACTAAAAAAAATCTTTCATTTTTTTAATTCATAAAAAACATTTCCTGTAAAGATACTTTTTGAATCCTCAATGACATCACACGGCTGTTAATATCATCTCACATATTTTATATAAATTATTATATTTTTATCGAATTTAAATATTGAAATTAATTTTAAAAGGTTCTTTAATGAAATCAAAGTCAAAAGTACTTCCTTTCTTATTTACACGCTAAATAAAATATCAATAAATTATTATTTTTATTAAACCGGTTTAAATTATTCAATTGAACTTCAATATTTAAATGGTTTTTAACATTTCAGTTTGCCACAAATCATTCCAAGTCAAAGACCCAAATGTACAATAAAGCGTAACACAGTTTGTGTATTTTCATATACTACGGATAAGGTTTGCGGACATTTGGGGTAAGGTTAGCTATTACAAGACTGTTATTTCACTCGGAAATCATTTTGAAAATATATAACGAATAAGTGACCAACATTTTTAGAGACACAAAGAAGTTAAGTAAAACTGAAATTGGTATATCACAAGACAGACAAAATTGCTAAGGAACCCAAAAATTAGTAGTAGTCTTCGCGCCTACCGAAGACAATGAGCGGAGAAGAAAAAATAAAAAGCTAAGAAGAAGAATTAGAAGGAAGGTGGGAATATTTTCAACAGCTAAATAAATTGGGCAGAAAAACATATTACGTGCTAAGGTTACACTTCCCTACCCATTTTAGGTTTCTAACCATTTTAGTTGAAAAGAAGCTTAGTTGAAAGAAGACGGTGGAAAGTGAGCACCCACTAGTCTGTTCTGTCAGTAGGCCAGAACTTGACAGCGACAAGTCTCCTCCTCGTCAGCACAGAGTCTGCAGAGTAATCAGTAACATCATGGTCCCATTTACTGGTAAAGACCCTGATATTGAAATGACCAGTAATGACTCCTGTCATTACTCTTATTTCAGCTTTGCTTACGTTCAACAGTGAGTTTGTTTTCTTGGTTGACAGAGTCGGCCAGATAGATCTTGACACATTGCACCTAGGTTCATTGTGCCAGGGTTCATTGGCTTGTCGTCGAAGAACGCCTCAAAGTTCCGAAAAAGATGAAAGATGGGTGGTTTGATTAAGCAATCGATTGCTAGATCTGTAGATTAAGATTCTCGTCTAGCTAATTCCTCTGGTTTTTCATTACCCATGATGTTATGTTGTCCAGGTACCCAAAACAGTCGATAGCTCTAAGTGAGTTTTTCCAAAACTGTTCTACACTTGAGGGGACGACCTCAGATTTCATATTAGAGGATTTGATGGCTTTAAGAGCCACTTGACTATCCACGAAAATAGTCACCGGTTCAAGGATCTTTGTATCCAGACTTTTTATCAATTCCGTTGCCTTCCAAATAGAGAAGATTTCAGCTTGGAAAACACTACAGTTGTTATGCAGCTTGTAGGAAATCTTAAGGCATAGCCTTTCACAGTAGACTGTCCAGAGGAGGGTTGCTACAGTTCCAGTTGTCTCTACTTGGGATAACGACATCTATATCGTCAAATCTCAGGACTGGTGATATATAGTCGCTTAGAAAAAAATCCTATATTTAGCGAATGGAATGTCCGATTTGACCCAGAATTGGTAAAAATATTACGATGTATGAAATCGTAATATTTTTACCAATTCTAGATCAAATCCGAAGAGGGGACCCATCGGTCTTAGTATTTTTTTCCAATCCTAGATCATGTCCGAAAATGGGACCCATCCGATCATTTCTTCTGGTACATCCCACACAAACATTCAAATATATATTTCCATACCTCTCCACTGATGGTTAGCTCTTTGATATAATTTCGTAGACCTCCGCAAACCGTAGTTTGAGGGTATATATCAGTTGGCAACACCGACTGGCATTTTTTTTAGATATTTTATTAACTTATTAATCCCATATGCTCCTTTTTGTATTTTGCTTCATTGGCTCCAGTTTTCGTTTTCAATGAAATTTCTAACTTAATGGGTCCATATTTTAACATAGGCCCTATGTAAAGGCGGGGTTCCATTCTAATTTAAGGTCATTGAGGCGTTTTTCAGCCGTAGCGTTCGTATTTTGGCATTTCGGGTTTAAATTCTGGACCCAGTACATTCCTCCATATAAGATTACGAAACTTTTTTTCAGATTTAAAACTCATTTTCCAAGCGAAGTGGTGGCTGTAATTTGAAATTTCAGTTTCTCAAAGAATTAAATACCCGGACTTGCTCTAATGTCCGAGGGTATCAAATTGAGTTCTGAAAAAGATATTTTTTGAATATAAATAAAATGAAGTGAATTCTTTGGGTAGTGGAACTATGTAAATTTTATTTTTAAAAGAAAAATGCATATACATAATTCGTTATGTGAAGCACATAAATATATTTTATAGCATACTTTTAGGCATACCAATTGAAAATACCTTAAATTATCACAATGGAAAAAATATCATCCAAATTTCGTTAGAATTGTGAAAATTCTATTTTAATGGAAATCAGCAAATTAATTACATCATCATCTATCCACTTAATGTGGTTAGCAGATAAGTGATCCCTGTAATGGAAAAAAAACAAACAAACAAAATGTTGATATTCGTTAATCATTTGTGTAAATATATAGTGGCCTTGTTTTTTGTAAATATTTATAGCATACTAACCAACAATAAGCTTTAGCTTTTTTCCACACACCAACAAAATCGCATAAAAAATGCATTTTTTTAGAAACATACTAACCTCACATAATTTTTGCATTTTGTGTAAAACAAAAAACCGTACGCATTTTTGCATTGTTTTATTTGTGCATCTGTATTTTCCATCATATAATAGTGTTGTGTTCATAAATAATATGTAATAATAAAAAATAGTTTATAAAAAATCACACTAATTTTGAAAATAAGTTTTAAATAAAAAATAAAACCAACCAACCCTCCATCATCCATAAAACAAAATACAAATAAAATAAAGAAATAATGTTCCCCTAAAACCAAACAAAACCACTTCTAATTCAGTTTCATTATTGTTGTTGTCGTTGTCTAGGTCTAAGCTTTTAAACAGACAAAAAAGATTCGGCTCAAACTTCCTTTTACCCAATTACGGCTGAATCCAATAAAAAAAATACCAATAAAACAATAACTTATAAAAAAAAAATAGTTATAATTTAAAAACAAAAAAAATGTTTCGTAACGGAATTGTCTTGTTGTCGAACTCCCGTTTCGTTGTACAAAGTTTTAAACAATCCAGCAGTTGTGTTTGCTATCGGTTCCTGGCAACACAACAACAAAAGCAACAATCAAATCCATCATCATCTTCTAGCCTGGAGTTGAAAAAACAAAAGCCCAAATATAATGAAAAAGAAAGCAACAACAACAAAAATAATAATGATACTGATGATGGAATTGGTAGTGGTAGTAGTGGTGGTGTTGTTACCATAACAAAAACACATCGGCAAATGGAATTGGACAAGGTTAGCATTAATTATTATTCTGAGTTTAACTATCAAGAGTTTCTAATGTGGTGTGAACACATACAAATGTGTGTGCATTTGTGCTTCTTCTTCTTTCATGTCCACTGCAGATCGATGAAGAGGTGGCCAAGTTATTGGCCCTCAAGGCCAAGCTGGGAGATGAGCCGGCACAAAATCAAAAATTCACCTTGAAGACACCCAAAGGCACAAGGGATTATGGTCCACAGCAGATGATGTTGCGTCAAAATGTCCTGGATAAAATCATTGGTGTTTTCAAGAAGCATGGTGGTGAGGCAATCGATACACCAGTCTTTGAATTGAAGGTAAAATAATAATTATAAAAAAAAAACTATTCCCTTTTCTAATTCCATGTCTCATCTTTTGTTTTTTTAGGAAGTATTAACTGGTAAATACGGTGAAGATTCAAAATTAATCTATGATCTCAAGGATCAGGGTGGTGAAATTCTTGCACTTCGCTACGATTTAACAGTTCCTTTGGCTAGATATTTGGCCATGAATAAAATCTCTAGCCTTAAGCGTTACCACATTGCCAAAGTCTATCGTAGAGATAATCCGGCCATGACACGCGGTCGTTATCGTGAATTTTATCAATGCGTAAGTTCTCAAATTTGTTGGTCTCCAATTTTCATTATTAATAGAATCATTTCTGCGTTGTAGGATTTCGACATTGCCGGTAGCTTTGATCCCATGTTACCCGATGCTGAGTGTGTTAAAATTGTATCGGAAATTTTGGATGTTTTGGACATTGGAGATTATGTTATTAAACTAAATCACCGCCAGCTGTTGGATGGCATGTTTGAGGCCTGTGGTGTACCATCAGACAAATTCAGGACTATTTGTTCTGCCGTGGATAAATTGGATAAAGTAAATCATAAACGAAATCATGTAAACAAAGGCAATTTGTAATCATTTTTTTTGCTATTTTAGTCCCCTTGGTCTGAGGTACGTCGTGAAATGATTGAAGAGAAGGGTTTAGATGCTGCTGCTGCCGATCAAATTGGTGAATATGTCCAGCTAAGTGGTGGTGCTGAATTGGTGGATAAATTGTTGGCTGACCCCAAATTAAAATCCGTCCCAGCAGCCGTTAAGGGCCTCGAAGGCATGCAATTACTCATGAAATACTGCAACAGTATGGGCCTGGCCCAGAAAATTAGTTTTGATCTAAGTTTGGCCCGTGGTTTGGATTACTATACCGGTGTCATTTATGAATGTGTATTAAAGACAGAACCCAAAATCGTTGCCAATGGCGGTCCAGGTGCTGCAGAAGAACAAGGCACAGTGGGTTCGGTGGCTGGCGGTGGTCGTTATGACAATTTGGTTGGCATGTTTGATCCCAAAGGCAAACAGGTACCCTGTGTGGGAGTCTCGATTGGTGTGGAACGTATTTTCTCCGTAATTGAGGCCAAGGCTGCTGCCTCCGGTGTTAAACAACGTACCAATGAGGTTGAAGTCTACGTGGCTTCAGCCCACAAGGGCTTGCATGAAAAACGTTTAAGTATTCTGAATGATTTGTGGAACCAGGGTATTAAGGTATCATTCAATTCAACTCTTTGTTTCAAAGTCTTTATTTAAAAATCATCATATTTTTTAGGCTGAACATTCGTACAAGCTAAATCCCAAACTATTGGCCCAACTGCAACACTGTGAGGAGCAACAAATTCCCTTGGCTGTTGTGTTTGGCGATTCGGAATTGGAAAAGGGCATTGTTAAGTTGCGTGAGGTAACGACACGCAAGGAGGAGGACATTGCCGTCACTGAATTGGCCAATGAAATTAAAAAGAGATTGCGTAGCTAAGATGTTAAGCGCGAACAACACTCACACACACACTACAAAAGAGAGGCAAAGCATTTCACCAAAACGGACGTTTCTTTTTTAATTTATTTAAACTTAAATAATATTTATTGTATGTGGCAAGGCTTTAAATATGATATTCACATAAAGAAAAAATATCAAGCAAAGAATGAAAAGAAAATACGTATAAATACAAAATATACTTAATCACAAAACATAACTCAAAACTGCTGCAGCTGTTGTTTTACTTGGGGTAGCATTAGCCATTGATAAAATATATATATTATTTTACATACCATGATGATGCTGATTGTTCTTCCTTTTTTCTCTTCTTTGGTGGTTTCTTCTCTTCTTGTCTGCTTCATATTTTCTTTCTTGCAGATCATCTGTGCAAAGCAAGAGCTCATCATAGACATTGACTCGTCAAGTGTTTCATCAATCGCTAGCAAACAATGCCCGATTTATTTGTAAATAGTTTTGTAAACGCTTCAATGCTCCTAAATGCACCCAAGAAGCCGGGCAAGCGTAGAGGCCGCAAACCCAAAGCTAAAAAACTTCCCTCCATGTATGATACGCAACAGCAACCGCCTCCGCCACCTACACCCCAAATGCCCCAATTACCAGCGCAACTTTACAACGATTATGTCAACGAATATCAGCAGCAGCAACAGCATCAGTCACCGTATCCAACCGGTCCGACTGGAGCGCCGCAGCCGCCGCCACCTCACCACCATCATCATCTGCACATGGCTCCCAGTCACTACAATAACATGGGTTATGATGATATGGCCGGTGGTAGCATGAATAAGGTAAGTGCCACCCCCCCAATTTCTTCCAAGTGAAACAACCAAAAATGTTGATTTCTTTCTTTAAATTTAATCTCGAGAATTATTAAGAATTTTTTGTTGTTGTTTTATATTATAATTATATTGTGGTTCAAACATTTTTTTGATCTATATTCTAGATTTACAACAAATGTAAGAATATGGATTATTATAAATTAATGCATTTATTTCCTTTCTGCCTTCTTTCCGCCTTTGACTTTTCCGTTCCATTCGTTCGCTTTCGCTTCTAATCGTCCCTTGTTTTCAATTCATTCGTCCGCTTTGTCTTTAATCTGCTCGTTTAATCCTCCATGTGTCGACACAAGAAATCGGCTGTTTGTTCTTCATTCTTCTCGCAGGCAATGAAGGCCTGCAACACAATTTCTCGTGGAAATCCCAAGCCAACCAAACGATCTACCGCCTGTTTTTCCTCTTCGGTTAGGATGATTTCCACAACATCCTCTCTAGATTCGGAACCAACACGGCCAAGAGATTCACCAGCTTCCACGCCACCACTACCGGCACCACCACTGCCGCCTCCACCACCACTAACCTCTTCATTGAGCATGGCCACAAATTCGTCTTGATTTTCGCGTATAATTGCTAACAAATTCGGATTGGTTTCACCGATGCGGGCCAAAACACTGCTCAACAGTTCGGGACGTTGGCGTATTACTCGACGCATTTGATTGAAACGAGGATCTTCACGCAAGAAATTCAAGGAAGTTGCTCCGCCCGAACCGGCACCACCGCTTGGTGGATTCACTGTCGGTATAGAGGGTGGTGCGGTGTCCATTATATCCGGTATATCGGGAATGCCTTCAATCAGATATTCAATGGCCCGATCGGGATTATTGAAACTGGCCAATAGGGCACGACGTACATCGGATTCGGGATAACCCATGCTCATTATTTCACGAACCATTGACTCATTGGCGGCAGCTGTGGGCGAAACGTCCATGACACCCAATATATTACTGGCAGCACTCGATGACTCCCGGGCTGCTGCTGGTGCACTTTCACTGCCGACTGTCGAGGCGGATGTACTGGTTGTTGTTGCGGTTGTGGTTGCAGCAGCCGGTGTTGTTTCCTTTTCTTTAGGTTTTTCTTCAGTCTTTGGTTGTGTGGTGGCAGCGGCAGTGGCAGCTGTAGTTGATGTGGCTGCACCACTGGCACTCTGTTCACTAGTTGTAGTTTTTGTTGCCGGTTCGCTAGCAGTTTTTGAGTCCGGTTCCTTGGCAGCTGCCGTAGCCGGTTGTGGCACCTTCTTGGCCATTACCACCAAGAATTTGCGCTCATCGATACTATATGTTTTCAAAACCTGGTCATTGTCTAACACACGTCCGGCATACACCACCACTTGCAGTTCCGGCTGGACACCAACTTCGGGCACGATTTGTGCCTTCAAGTCCCAAACGGTTTTCGTTTCATCGAATTCCACATAGAAGGTTTTCTGGTCGAGTGTTTTGATGGTCAGCTTCATGATGATGATGACGGTGACGACGATTCTGCAACAATAATTTTTTTTTCTTCCTTTCCTGCGGATTTGTATGTGTGTGTGTGCGAGAGTGTTTGTTTTGCACGAATGACTCTGTAAATTCCTTATTGCTTGCCTGCTTGTTCTTGTTCGCAGTATTGTCTATTTCCTAGTGTAATTTTTGCACAATAAATGTCGTGCCCGAAAAAATGCTGCAATTTACTTCCTATATTCGTTCTTGCTGCTGCTTGCTCTGCTTTTTCGACGAAATAATTTTTCGCACACACAAATATGACGGCAGCTTCAAAAGGGACGACGATGTGTCAGCAATTGTTTCGTTGAACATATGTTTTTGACACATGGATGTTTGTTTGTGCCCCGCAATGGGTATTTTTGCAACACTGAGTTGGAATGTTCAATGCCGATTGTGCAAAATTTGCGGGTGTGAGTAGTTGGTATTCACTTCTAGCTGTATTGTGACATTCGGAGTTAATGTGAAATATTGCAGGGTTGTATTTTGTTGTAGTAAATTGGAGTACACTGAGGAAAGTTTGAAATTTCTTTAATTATGACATTTTTGTAACTAGGCTATTAAAAGAGACATTGTGGAAGAAACACAATTTTTACTTATACAATCATAGGCATATAATTATTTTGACACATTTACATTGGTCAAAAGATTGGGTGATTTTTCGAATTTAATTTGTCTTTAATTACTTTGTAATTGAAGCCAAATTACAATTTAATGGCTAATTTATATATAATTACAAAGAATCCACCTTACATCATAGCTACTCTTTTTAAACATGTTTTAAACATGTTTAAATCTGCATTACATCATGACTACTCAAATATATCCACTTTTTAAACAAGTTATTATAAATAAATGATGTTAACACTTATAAAACATATTGAATGTAATTATGCAGATGCATTTTAAAAACTTCGTGACATTGATGTAATTTGTAAAAAATTGTCTTATTGGAATGAAATAAAATCTATATTAGGATTTTAGAAATATTATCTTGATCGAAAATGCATCTTTTTTTTTTGTTTATTCATGTTAAAATTGTATAGTTAACATTCTTGAAGATTTCGTTAACACAGTGTGTTTAAATTGTCTATTCCATGTCAAATAATAGTACGTTTACATTGTACTGGAATTCGTTAAACCAACATATTTAAATTGTCAAATTCATTGCATATATGTGACTCCTTCTTTAAAAAGGGTTCGCATTTTTTTCTTTATATGACTAGGAAAAAATCGTCAAAATATGTAGTTTTTGGATAGAGGGGTATGATATTTGCCCCAACTAGTTTCGAGAGGAGACTCATATAATATACCGGCCTACTGACATAATATGTACATAATGTATCTTTGTCACCGCCCCAAGTGTTACTGGCAAGCGGCTTGATCGCTTGCGTATATGTCTTGGGAAAGATGTTACGCCCAACTTCTTTGTGGGTGGAATCTGTTTTCCGTCGATCATTTATTTCGATATGGAGGAAAATTGTTTATAGAAATGTAGACGTTTATCCTCTCACAAAATCCACCGCATATATTATGATCTCTTAGTTCTTTGTGATAAATGGAAACTTCCTGTATCATTCTACGAGTCTTCGACTACCCGTTTGTAAATTTTAATATTAGCTGGCATCCCCACATGTAATTGATTATCCAATAGTTGTCTATATGTCCTCCTTACGACAGAGCTTTCGTTCCATAAGCCGAACTTAACAATTTAACAATTCCGATGTTCGAGAATAGCTGGTACAACTCATGGTTCTTTCGACTTCGATATTCACCGTCAACGCAAATCGGTTCATATATCATTCGGAGAATTTTTCTCTCAAACACACCAATAGCTGCCTCATCTCATGCGTAAGTACCCATTCTTCCGATCTATATAACAGCACGTGTTGTAACAGCGTCTTGTAGAGTGTGAGTTTGGTCTGGCGGTATATGGCCTTGTTTCTAAAGTGCTTACTTAGACCATAGTAGCATCAGTTGGCACTATCCATTTCCGAATTTCAAAACTGATATCATTAGTTTTATTTAGTTAGCTGTTGTTTTCAAGTTCCACAGTTGACCCGAGTCTACTGGACGTCTTGCGTGTTGATGTTTTTTCGCCGTTTACTGCCAGACCCACTTTTGCAGACTCCTTTTCAATTTCTTCAAAGGCGGCTATTACCGCTCGATCCCATTCGATCCCATTATGTGTTGTTTGCTGTATAGAGTGCCATTTCTGTTCACCTTTGCCTCTCGTATGACCTTTTCCTGCAGAATGTTAAAAAGGTCACACGACAAACTGTCACCTTGTCTGAATCCTCAATCTGTATAAGAGGGCTCCGAGAGGTACTTTCCGACTTTAACTGCTGATGTTGTGCCAGTTAAAGTTATCCTGCATAACTGTATTAATTTCGTCGGAATGCCAATTTATTGCGATTGCAATCAAAAATTATTGGTGGACAATTATATATATATAATATATATATATATATATATATATATACTATATATATAATAGTTGACAATTTAGATCCACTGGGTTACAATGTAAACGTACTTTACATATTCACCTCTGTTTTAAATGTTGTTAAGATTTATACAAAAAATATTTTTAGTGAATCATGATTCCGAATTTTATTCAAATGTTCGTTTCACACAAAATCTATCAGTAAATATTTATTCAATGCATTAAATTGATGCACAATAATATCGTTTGTGGCTAAGATTTTTTTGGAGAATGCCCTTCAGCATTCATAAAAAAACTGAACACACACACACGTTTTTTTATTTATTTTCTTCTCTCCATACATTCAATGAGACAATATAAACCGGATATTACCAACGGGAGTCAACCGGTAGCTGCTGCTGCATTTAATCCGAATTTAGACATTAATTTTATTGTTTCACAGTTTGTTTGTCATTGACAAACCGCGGATGCTAACAATAACTGGTAGAATTTTAAGGGTAACAACGGGATGAGAAGTAGAGTGAGAAAAAACGCAATTGTTTCAATTTAATTAGGGGTTGTTGATCATCATTATACAATACAATATATGTATGTGTATATGTGACAAGGTTAGGTTACAGTATGTGAACGAATAGAAAAAAATCCTTAATCCCGTTTTCAATTCATAGTGGATGAAATTTTGCTAGCCTGCAGTCGTAACTCTTAATTTCATTTAATCATTACATTATTCTTCGTATGTAGTGCCATATATATTTATTCACACATCTATGCATGTGTGTAGTTTTTTTTTTTTGGTAATAAATCGATTATCATGCGATAATGTTTGCTAGAATTATTCTCCCCCTCTTCCCGCCAAGTGAAATCTTATTTGCTTTCTTTATCATGGTTGACCAGATATTGTTGAGGCACGCGACCTTTATAATGGCCATTGTGACATGTTCCAGCTAAGCGTTTTAGTTCACTTACACTCGAAAATAGAGACAAAGTAAAACATATAACAAATTTATGACGGAAATATAGATGTAGAAGTTCGAAGGTTCGGGTAATTATTAAAGATTTGAATAAAAATTCGACCTTGTTCCAATAAAAAAAGAAATTTACTTTTAAGAAAGATTAGGGTTAAGAAAGACTATAGGTTTTCTATCATGAATGGTATATGAGGGATACGATGTAACAACAAATACATTACCCAAGTAACTACAAATACATTCAACCAACGTCAAAGGCTTAAAAAACTTCGAGACTTCTTTAAAAATGTTAGCAATGTATACTTAAACTTCGGGCGCAATTGTTCAAAATTATTACAATTAAGTTCCTGAAGAGATTAGAATTGTTCATTGGTTCCCAGTAAATGAATCGGAAGATCTACATGAACGTTTGGATCAAAAGGATGTAGGATATACGTCTTTCCACCAGGAAGACAAAAAATATAGGTCAGTATGAAGAGCCCATCTTCCAAAATAAATCGATGGCCATATCAAATAATGTTAACAGCCTGTTTTTGTAAAATTCCAAACGAACGAATTCGAGTGACTTACGACCAAACCTTTATTTATGTTTATAATTCATTTCAAAACAAAAATTAATGACATATTTTTAAAAACCAAGGAGTTTGATCGTAAGTCACTCGAATTCGTTCGTTTGGAATTTTACAAAAACAGGCTGTAAGTATCTGGGAGTAATGCTAGACAGGAAACTTAAATTGGAAGACCACACATATAGCAAAGGGCTGACAAAGCCCATAGATGCTTGTCTTTCTGTAGAAGAGCCGTAGGCTCTAAATGGGGTTTTAATCCTAAAATGATATGAAATCTATATGAACGTTATGAGACCAACTCTAACATACGCGTCTATATTCTGGCGGACTTACTTAGCTGACTTGTTACAGAACGGTTGTTCCATAAGCCGAGCTTAAAAAAGATTTCCAACCGCGTCGGTCTTGTGCGCACCTCCTCCAATTTGAAAGACCATTCTCCGATATGTTGTCTTCTACTTAATCTTTCCATCTAATTCGTGGCCTTTCCCTTCTGCGTAAACCATCAGTAGGCTCGCTTTTATATGCCTTTTGAGTTGGAGCATTCTCATTCATTCATACAATATGACCTAGCTATGTCGATGTCCGCGTATATATTGTAAAGCTCGTGGTTCATTCGACGCATATCGACTCGTAGATCTTTCGGAGAAATTTTCTCTCAAACACCCTAAGATTTGTCTCATCTGCTTGCGCATATGCACGGGTAATATCGGCGTCTTGTAAAGTGTAAGTTCGGCCTTGTTTCTAAACTGCTTACTTAGATCATAGTATGGTCTGTTGACCATCGCTACCCTTCTCCGAGTTACCAAGGTATATACAATCTTTAACTTAAGTTCCACAGTTGGTCCGAGTCTACTGGATGTCTTGCGCGTTGATACCATCAGCATGGTCTTCTCACTAATTACTGTCAGACCCACTTTGGCAGACTCCTTCTCAATTTGTTCAAAGGTGACTGTTACCGCTCTCAATGTTCCACCCCATTATGTGGATGTCATCGGCGTAGGCGAGTAACTTGTATTGTTTGGTGTACAGAGTGACATTTCTGTTCACCTTTGCGTCTCGTATGACCTTTTCCAGCAGGATGTTAAAAAGATCACACGACAACCTGTCACCTTGTTTGAATATTCGTTTGGGATTGAAGGGCTTCAGAAGATGTGAGTATTGCCAAACCCTTTAGCGCAACACACCAAGAAATGAGGGTATGGGCATATGAGACCCACAAAAATCTTTGGGATAATGAGGTGATAGGAAAGAACACACACATTTTATGGGTGACCCAAATGAAGACAAAACTAAGCAAATCCTAAAGCTAAACAAAAAAGAAATAAGTAGACTTACGGGTATTTTTACAGGACGCCTCAGCGTGAAGGCACAGATTGGATGCGAGGGTATCAGCAGGTGTAGTGTGTGTGAGGAAGACAGTGAAACGTTGGAAAATTTCCAGTGCCCAGCATTTACATGCCTTCGAAAACAATTCTTGGGATATGACACTATTCACGGACTGAATGGAGAAGACTGAAGGGGGGGCCAAACTCAAGATGTTTAATCTAAATTTTCCCTAATTCTAACTTTCCTCTCATCTTTATAGCACATAAAATGCCTCAACTGCCGTAAGTGTATGGCATGTACATGCCTTCGAAAACAATTCTTGGGATATGACACTATTCACGGACCTTCAGTCTTCTCCATTCAGTCCGTGAATAGTGTCATATCCCAAGAATTGTTTTTGAAGGCATGTAAATGCCATACACTTACGGCAGTTGAGGCCTTTTATGTGCTGTAAAGATGAAAGGAAAGTTAGAATTAGGGAAAATTTAGATTAAACAAACTCAAGATGCTTAATCTAAATTTTCCCTGATTATAACTTTCCTTTTTGTTGGACATGTGGTGGTATTATCCAAGTATTATTCAAGGTAATCTATGTTCAACCTGCCGAATATAATGAGAATCTCATCACTTTTCAACTTACAATAATTTTTGAGTGTTCTCGGAACATGCTTCTCTATTTCTCGCTGTGGGCTAGTTTCAATTGAAATGTTTCAGTTTAAATTTGCCTGGTGACTCCCTTCATTCTGCAAACATTATATTCTCTTGGCATTGTCCATCATCACAAACACAAATATTGGTGTGAAATTTTAAAATTGTATCTCAATGCCATCAAAAGGGTTCATATTTCAGTGGCGACCAACAGGGGATGATTTCAGTTTTTTTTTTTTTTTTGTTTTCTCAACAATACGCAACAACTTTTTTAAATCGTAATATTGTAAACAGAAAATTTCAATCAATTCAAAATTTATGGCAAAGCGGCGGCGCTTCATTCTTTTAATCGAATTTAAAGGAATGAGCTTCTCATAATGGGTGTTGACGCATTGTAAAGTCAATAATGATAAGAATCTGTGGCACACGTTTTGCTAACATAGTGAGAAGGAGATTTTTCATTTAAACCTAAAAAATCACGTGCTTTTGAAATGGGTTTTGATTTCCTGTTAAATGTTTTAAAAAACGTATCGATAAAACTTGGCAATTTCCGTTGTACTTTTTACTTAGGTCTGCAAGAAGCACAAAAAGCACAACCTGGCTAATTTTTCGGCTTAGTTTCTTCTTCACCTCTCTTTCCCTCTCCTCACATGAAATATGTATATAGAAATGCTCTTGAACATTTATCTCAATTTCATTCATGACATTAGGAGTCCCGTTATTCCATTCTTAGCTAATGCGATAATTAAGCTATTCCCCTTTTGGGCTACAATACCTTAATTTTCTATGTTATTTCCTCGGGCATAGAAAAACTGTATTTTTGTCAAAGCAAAATATGCCATTTACTAAACCCAAATCTTTTCTAAGTCACGTCTGACATTGCCCAAAAAAGTGACCAACTGCAATAAATCAGTGTTTTTGTTTTGCCTGTTTCGTATTTTACAAATAAGTAGTGTATTCCACATTTTATGTCCGTTAAAGGGGTTTGTTTTGAATTTCCCCGAGGAGCGATACGTTAAAATTTTAAGCAGATGGTTGATTTCTTTTGGTGTCCGCCACCGTCCTCTATCCCATTAATGAATGTTTTATGTTTTGTAATTTATTTGTTGTATTTTTGTGTGGAAAAACATCCAAAAATCATTGGGATTTTTTAGGTTAGTAAAATAAGTTGTTCTGCATTTTTTTCTTTTGTTCGGATAATGCATGTTAGTTTTGGTAATATATCATTTTCTGTGTAACAAAAAAGTGGAATTTGCGGTACTCATAAGAGTTTTTTTGTAAGGAATTTGTCCATATGGGAATAACCCTTTCATAGCTACTCCTGCTAACAAAAGATTAGATATTTCTCCTCTTTTAAAAAAGGACATTATGGAGTGCTAGTAATCTCACATATCAAATTCTAGAAATATATTCACAAAATATATTTTATTCCGAAATATTCCATTTTACACAGGAATTGTGAAAACTAGATATTAAAATAATGATCGATGTTGCATTTAAATATTTGTTTGGTTTGTTGCCGTACTGCAAAAAACTACCAAGTTTTCGTTCGGAACTCCTACAAAATTAATACGGCTATGCAGGATAACTTTAACTGACACAAGGTCAGCAGTAAAAGTCTGAAATGAGCTCTATAATACCGAACGAGGATTTGGACAAGTTGACAGTGTGTCGTGTAATCTTTTTAACAAGCTGGTGGAAAAATCAAATGAGAGGCAAAGGTGAACAGAAATGACACTCAGTACACCAAACGCGAGGCGAGTGCCTACGACAATGGCATCGATATAATGGGTCGAACATTGCGTGCGGTAAAAACCACATTTGAAAAATTCATAAGAAGTCTGCCAAAGTGGGTCTGGCAGTAAATGGCGAGAAGACGAAGCTGATAATATCAACGCGCAAGTCGCACAGTATATCCGGACCAACTGTGGAACTTGAGAACTATTGCTACGAGGTAATCAACGATTTTATATACCTTCGAACCGCCATAAATAGAACTAATGACATCAGTTTTGAAATTCGGAGAAGGATTGTGATGGCCAACAAATGCTTCTATTGTCTATATAAGCAATTTGGAGACAAGTCCACCTGTCGCCAGACCAAAACTCATACTCTACAAGACGCTGATACTACCCGTGCTGGTGTATGGATCAGAAGCATGAGTACTTGCGCGTGTAAATTGGGGCGTATAAATTTACTCATTTAAGGGGATTGACCCGGCAAGTTGATAGTATATTCAAGAAAAGTGGTTGGCCTTTAAATTGAATGTGGGAGTTTATACGTATTTAATGGTTTCTATGTGTTATGACATTGTTTACAGGTCAGAAATGTCGCGTTGATCGCTTTGAAAGAAGCCTATAATTTTCGGTAATGTTGTGATGATAGTATTTAGGGGGTGCAATGAATCGAAGATATATTTGTGAGGTTTTCTAATCGCTCTAGAGGCCATTATTATATGCAGAACGTCACATATTTTACACGGTGAAGTGGGTCGGTCCAAATACTTAGAACGGTTGTTTAGATGATGATCCGTCAATATTCCAATGACCAAATAAAACAAAACCTAACGTAAACAAATTTTTATTTTATGGCGTAAATTTTCACCTGGGCTAAACAATTTCGAAAATATGCCAGGGTTAGAAAGTGGAGCTGTTGATCTATAATCGGTTAAGAGGATGCAAATATCGCGAAATATTGCCCAGAATCTGAATATAGAACCGCAGAAAGTTAGATTTTCGCGGTAGTTGTGTAGGGTATCATATGTTCGGCCCCGTTCGGCTATACTGCTCCGCTCATTTTATACTTTGTTTGGTATTACGAAAATTACCTAAACCGTAATATTTATTTTTTTATTATTATTAAACTCAGGATAATTTACAATTATTTATTTTTTTAATAAAATTAAAATTATAGATTGCGAACATATGTTAAGATTATTAGCGCATTAAAAAAAAATCTAAAATGTTATTAAATGTAATTAAATTTTTTAATATTTTTAAATATATATTTGAATAATTTACATCATACGGTGCTATGCAATCCTGTTTAGTGTCAAAGTACTAAACAAATCAACTGTTCTCCTTAACTACAAAAACTATTTATTTGAAGTACCTGGTTATCATAAAACGAAAAAAACTGAGTATCAAAGTTCTTCTTAATGTACGTTTAGATTTACGAAATCCACTCGATCTTAAATGTCAATTCCGTAGCGCATACGTCAAATATAATCCACTGGATTTGCGAACTGGATAAAAGTGACGTATACGCAATGGAATTGATGTTTGAGATCGCGTGGATTTAGTAGTCTAAACGTGGCCTTACATTCATAACTTTTTATATTTATAATAAGTTTTTGAATAATAAATAAATAATCGGCGATATGTATTCATGCATTATACATTATTACAAGTAGCAGCTGGCTGTCATTCAAAATGATCTCAAAGCTGGTGTAAATAACCTTAGTTTATTGTTAGCATTTTCTAAATCAATATAAATTACATATTTAATTCACTATTATTCATTTCCACATAAAATTTCTCCAAACAATTTCTCACTGTGCACAACACAACAACAACACTTCGTTGGTGGTTGTCTGTTCGTCACAACGAGTACTCGTGCAAAATCCACAACATTCCCACATCACTAACGAACGAATCAACCAAACAACAGAATAACAAAATGTAAACGTGCTAAACTGTCAATGAAAATTTTTCGGAGTAAATGTCAAAAACAGTGTGTTTGTGTGTGTTTCGTATTTTGACAGACTCACATGCATGTATTTTAATTGTTATTTATTCCCAAATACCAAAATTGCTTGCCGAATTGCGGTGGTGAAATAGAACCAAAAAACAACAAAAACACCGATTTTCCTATATTTAAGATGAAACTCCAGGTGAAGACACTAAACCAGAAGTCTCTCGTTGTGGAAATCGACGAGGACAAAACAGTCTATGAGCTGAAAAAAGAATTGTCGCTGTACCCCGACGTGGGGGTAAGTCCGGAATTGCAAAAATTGATTTATGCCGGTAAAATACTCGAGAACGAAGATAAAATCAGTTCGTACAACATCGATGTGAAGAAATTTCTGGTAATCATGATACTGAAACAGCCTTTACCGGTGCCCACGGCAGTTCCGAAAAAGGAAGCTGAAGAGAAAAAGGCTGCAGCAGTTGATGAGGCTACAACACCCAAAGAAACTAAAACAACAGCGGCGTCAGAAGCGGAATTTAAAACCCCTACAACACCAGCAGCAGCAGCGACGACACCATCCACTCCTGCTGCCGTTACCACCACACCGGTATCAACAAATCCCGAAACAGAGGCTATGGTCGCCCAAATAGTCAGTATGGGTTATGTGGAACATGATGTTCGTCGGGCGTTGAAGGCAAGTTTTAACAATCCCGAGCGAGCCATTGAATACCTAATCGAAGGCATACCCACATCACCGTCCACACCCGAAGGTGACAGCTATATCGAGGACACAGATGCCGACTTGTCAATGACTCCGTTTGAGGTATTCCGTGGTGATCCGGTATTTCACAATTTACGCAGTGCCCTACAACAACACCCCGAGTTGATCGATGTGGCCATCCAACGAATTGGTGAAACCAACCCAGCTCTCTTGGAGTTGATTAGTGAAAATCAAGAGGAATTCCTCAGTATGCTGTTAGATGGTTCCGATGATGATGAGGAAGACGACGATGAGGAGGATGACGAATGAATGCGACAGCAAGTTGGTGCCTTAAACTTGGAGTTACAAGGAATAGGAGGATGAGAATGATGAGGAGATACGAATCTATTTGTTACATCAACTGTATAAAAATAATTTATTTATATTTGTAAATTGCTGTTTAGTTTCTTTTTTTATACAAGCGAAGCGCTCTACTACCTTTTTTTGTCAATAGAGATTATATTGAAGTTAAGTGTGGCGGTAGTGATATTGAGCGAAATATCCATCCCATTTCATTTGAATTTAAATGTTTTTTTTTATGATTCTTCGAATAAATCGAAATACTAAGTACAAATAATTTACGACTATGTTGAGTGCCTTGTTTGAAAAAGTTTTTTAATGCGTTTTAAAAAGTTATTTTTTTTAATGCGTTTTAAAAAAATTAGCACATTTTATTTCAGCACGTGGTATGTGTTGTTGTGGCATGCTCATATTGCTAATCTACTATCATTGTTGCTTTGTATGTATTGTACATACATATCCATAGATTAGTGTATTTGGAATTTAATGAATATTTTGGGAATGTGGGAATTAGCTTTGATGACCACCAAAGGATATTACTTTAAATATGGAGTTTATGATTGGTTTTTAAAAGAACGTGTGTTTTTTGAGGAATTATTTGAGCTATATGAAATTAGTTTATAAGGAGCTCACCGAAAGTTAGCTGTTGAAAATAATATCGGCGGCTATTTAGTAAACAAATCTTAATTTAATTTGGAGATGATCCCCTTAACTCTAATTAATTGGGTTTAAGATTAATTTTTCAAAACTTCTTTAAAAATACAAAACACATTTCGACAAAAAAAAATTTAATCTCTTTCGGAAATATTTTCATAAACCACTTTTCAATCCCAATGTTCAAAATATATCCTTTAAGAAATTCAGGTTGCTAAAAGAATAAAATTCTGGATTTTATTTTTCTGTATATGTACGTCTGTTGAAATCACGGTAGAGCTCACAAAATTTCAATTACTCCTAAGATGTTTGCTATTGAAAATGGGACATATCTGTCTACATTTTGGTATTGTCCCCTAATATTCAATATTTGGGTATTTTTGAGCCATTTTTAACAGAATTGACTGTTTGGTACTTTGTTTTCAATTGGGTATCAATTCTCCCTACAAAAAATTACACTTTTGGGAGTAGTCCCCATATAACGATACACCCTATTATTCGGTACTATGGGGAGTTTGGGCATGTTTTTCAACCAACTTAGCTAATTTTTGTGTTTTGAATTCTCGGCGGTAGCCTATTATTTGGTATTTAGGGCAAGATTTTTAACTAGTTGGCTCTGATGTGGTTCTCCTTGAGGTTTAAAATAATTTCAGAGTGCGAAAGTTGTCAAGAAATTTCTTTTTAAACCCAGAACAAATTCCCAGAAGGGTGGTAGGATTTCATTTTTTTTAACAATTCAGTGTATAATATCGGGTCTTAATCCCCAGCTCTTACCTATGGAGTTCTGGCATGAGTAGAGTGCCAGTAGTCCTTTTTAGAGTGTTCTTCAAAATTCTTATAACACGTTAATTTGCGGTCAAAGTACCAAGGTATTTTGCTTTTTCAGAAAGGGTTAGGGTCACTCCTCCCAGTGATGGCAGGCGGAAACTAGGTATCTTATGTTCCTAATGAAGAGCACCATTTTTTGTCTTAGTGGGGTTTACACCAAGACCTTTGGCGTATGCCCAGTTAGACAGGGTTGAAAGGGCACCCTCCAAAATATCTGTAATTGTCATTGGAAACTTACCACCAACAGCAGGACTACATTATCGGCATAGGCTACAACCTTTATCCTAAGAAGATTGAATTTCAGAAGTATCTCATTTATCACCTCTCGCCACAGAAGGCGAGATAATACTCCTCCCTGTGGTATGCCTCTATTGACAGAATTCCCCACGGAATTCACTCCTAATGATGAGTTGATAATTCTGCTTTCCAGCATTCTATCAATCCAGTCCATTAAAAGCATGGTGCGAAGAATGATTAAAATACGCTCTTTCTCACGAATGATCATGGACGAGAATTCGAATGTTTTCAATTTATCGCGAATGATAAAGTTACAATGAATGAACAAGCATTTGCATTCTCTCGCGAATGTTCGCATTGTACGAAAAATTCACGAACGATAAAAATTCGCTGCAAGCGTCGTCGAATCATTCTTTCGCGAGCATTTGTGGCTGAAGAACATTCTTTTGAAAAACTTGAAAAACAAATGTTCGCGAATGCTCGCGAGCACTGTTAAAAACAGCCACCAACAAAAATATCATAAAAAGGTAAACAAACAACAAATGAATGTGTGAGTAGTAGAAACTGTGTGGAATAAGAAAACACATGTGTAACAACTATTGAGTTCACGAACATTTGTTGTTATTGTTGTTGCCGTTTTGATCATTCGCGAGAATTCGGGAATATTCGTTTTCATTCGTGAGAGAATGTGAGAAAGAATTTAATTTAATTTGTGTGTTTTCACTCTTTTGTTATGTGTGTGCGAACATTCTTTGGCGAATGCTCGTTTCGTAAAGAATTTACGCCATAAATTCATTCGTAAAATGATCACAAAACGAAAAGAATGTATTTTGAATCATTCGCGAGCGAATTTTTGCGCACCCTGGTTAGAAGTGAGGGGTATCTGAGCTTATGAGAGCAGAATGGATGGCTTCTAGCTTAACATTGTTAAAAGCTCCCTCAATGTCGAGGAATGCTGTCAAAGTGTAGCCAGAGGACTCCGTATTCTTCTCGATGCATCCAACCACCTCATGTAAGGCTGTATCCACTGATTTGCCTTTGATGGGAGTTGCTAAGTTTGCTGGTATTTTTCTTCCTATTGCATTCTTCTTCCTGTAGAAGAGCTGCATGTTATTTTCTTCCTATCGGAAAGCCGGATATATTTTTCTTCCTGTAGCAGAGCTGGAGGTCTTATTTTTCCTAAAGGTGAACTGTAGGTATTCTTCTTGCTGTGGAAGCGCTGCAGGTATTCTTCTTCTTGTGGAATAGCTGCAGGTGGACCTTTGAAAAAATATTTAAAAAATAAGAAAAAACTTCTCCGATTGGCTTTATCCTAGTTCATACGATAGCTATACACTCACAGAGAAACGTGTAAAAATTGGAATCGATTGAGTCATTAGTTTTTGAGTTATCGTGCCCGCCATTCACAAAAGAGAAAAAGGCGTTTAAAGATTGAGAATCCCTTTAGCCGTCACTTGATGCTGACACAATAAATCGGCTATATCTTCAAGAGTTCTTGAGATTTTCTCTTGAAATTTTGTAGGGACGTTCTTGAATTAGTGTAGATTCGAATTAAATCAAAAAAATTTTTGGCCCCGAAATTGGGGGGTCCCCTTAATTTGAAAGAGCTGCAGATATTCTGCTTCCGTTGAAAGAGCTGGAGGTATTCTTCTCCGTATACGAGAACTGGAGATATTCATCTATTACAGAGCTGCAGGCATTCTTTTTCCCTTAGAAGAGCTGCATGCATTCTGCTTCCTGTTGAAGAGCTGCAGGTATTTTTCTTCCTATGGAAGAGCTGCTGGTATTCTTCTTTCTATGGAAGAGATGGAGCTATTATTCTCCCTATTGAAGAGCTGCATATAATTTCTAATTTCTGAGTCTAGCAACCTTTCTAAAGTATTGAGACTAGACTAGGTATGTACGATAGAAGTAGACAAGCCCTAAAAATGCCTGCAGAGAGGCACCAGGAGACTTTTAGGGTTGAAGACTATTTATCGCCTATACCAGTTTTGGGTAGCTTATAGTATTTTCTATTAAATTCTCCTCCTTCCTCGTTGGAACTATAGGCTGAGGAGCACACTGCGCAACCTCCCTACGCCTTTGGTAGTCCCTGAAAAATATTTCAAAAAAATCTACGTCTTTGTTAGCCTCTGAAAAAAATATTTTAAAAAATCCACGCCACTATTCAAAAATTCCAAGCTTATGTTAGTGGATCGGAGAAAATTACATTTGTGTTTCAAAATTAATTTTAATTCTAATAAGAAAATTATTCAATTAATATTATTTTAATACTACACCCATTGAAAAAAAGTAGTTCTAATTTTGCAGCTTACCTTTATTTTCCTAGCAAAGTAATTGGTACTTGAAATACAAATTGCATGGGAGTATATCATCATCCCTTTCATTTTTTTTGAAAACAATATTCAATTTATTTATTACATCTTGTGTGTGTGTATGTATGTGAGTGCGTATGCCAACAAGGACTTACATTGCAAGGTTACACAGCTCCTTGGATGACAATGGCAATTCAATCAGACGATGACAACAAGGAATATTATTATCCACGACGATGATGATGCTCTGCAACGGCCTGGTGCCACGTGTTTTATTCATTAAATCGTCGAGTTGAGAGTCTGAAATTAATTTTTGTGTTGGTGTCTTCAAAATGTTTCAATTTCCATGAGCCGTGCGAGGATGCACGGCTAACTAACCTCAGCTAAGGCTGATGTGTAGGTGGTGGTGGCGGTAAGACATACTTCATTTCGCGAAGGCCATAAAGCTATGACAGTAGCACGTGGTGCATGGCTTGGGGATGGCGGATTCGCAATTAATGCGTTCTTCTTTTTGGTGTTCTTTTATGAAGATGTAATTTTTGTTCGCATCCTCCATGCGTTCCTATTGCTTCATTGTTAGGTTGTTAATGCAACTTATTTTTCTTCGTTTGCATGTCTAATTGTGATTAACAAGGACTTGTGGAGCGAGAATAATATACACACATATAAATATGAATGTGTGTGTGTGTGTGTTACATGACTCTCACAATCAGCGGTATTGTTGGCATTTGATTGCGAAGTAATAAAACATACAGTGGTTACAGCAAGGTTAGAAGTCCTGCAATGTATAGAACACCTTACTGGAGTTTAGCTATGGTCACTGTGCTCTACCTTCATCATTTACCAATTAATGTGGCAACAATTTGTTCTCTCCTTAGATAATGTAAACCAAGTATGTGTACCTCAATGGCCTGTTAGCTAATTGGAATTGCTAGA